TAGTTTCTTCAGCAATGTCATCTGTTGCGCTGTGTACATTCCCTGAAAAGGATTCTTGGTGGAGTAGAAGTCTAAATCAATATCCAGAATAAACTGCTTACTGCCTAGACTTTCTGAGAGTTCTTTAAGGCACGAATATAAAGATTTATTGAGTTCCGAGCATAAATTTTCGTCAGTGTAAACATTTAACGGCTCATCAGTCTTCCTCTGTTTGGGTGATGTTGGTGAATCTGTGGACTCATCCTTGGTGTCTGTCTTTACATCTGTTGACTGGCTCTTGTCCAGGATACCTGATGCTGTTTCTTTGTTCCTGCTAACTTTAGAAGCCTCTGTTCCCATGGCAATGTCAGACCACTTTTCTGGCACAACAGTGATGACAGTTAAAGATACTAGTTTCTTCTCCACTAGTTCTGATTCAGGAACATAAAGAGTCTCACTCACAAAGTAGCTTTCTGTGCATGTGGTTCTGCAAGATGGTAAGCATGGTAAGGTGACACACTTTTGATATTTTTTAACTGACTGGTTCAAAGATTGGAGCCAAATTTCACAATTGTAAATTTATTATTATTTACAACATAGCTCTATTTCTTACAGCCTGCAAACATAAAATTGGCGTAGAAGTCAATTCAACCCATTAAATTCTGTACACCCTAGCAGTGCCAGAGCTTGGACGTGAATATTGCTTAAAGCTGTATCAGCAAATTTGCAGCTAATTGCAATGAGACAAGTGACAGATATAACTCCAGTGTATGAAATAAGGCCCGTCCTACCGCCCGAGACGGGCTAGATTTCTGATGGACGGTCCAAATTTACAGCTAGCCAGCCCGATGGTCTGGTAAAATTTGGAGATGTTTCATACATCTGAGTACATTCACCAGATCTTGGTGTCTGGTCTAGTTAAATCCATTGTAACATTTTGCAGCCTGGGTTTTAGGCTTAATTCATACACTGATAACTCATAATTTTTAAAAATACCAACTGAACACTGGAATGTTCAGAACAAGAGTGAGGCACTGGATAACTATCCTGCCCCATAATCCTGACAATAAGTTCGATTGTTTGTTTGTAGTTTAATGCAGCACTCAGCAATATTCCAGCTATATGACGGTGGTTTGTAAATCATTGTGTCTGGACCAGACAATACAGTGATCAACAGCATGAGCATCAATATACGCTATTGGGATATGATGACATGTGTCAACCAAGTCAGCTAGCCTGACCCCCGATCCCGTTACTCGCTTCTTACAACAAACACATTCAATGTAGTGATTTAACCCGTTTGAGTCACCTTTCGACAATCATATGGAAAGGGACTTTTCATCCTGTTGTGTCCTATTCAGTGGCTACATACCTGATGGTTCCAGTGTTACAGCATTTGCCAACATAAAACGTGATATGCTTGTCTTGTATCTGAGTGCACCAGGGCGGCTTCAACCAGTAGATGTCCTTGATGTGACCAGCATGCGCTAGTGGAAGGATCCAGTTCTCTATACTCAAAGCACTGTAACCATGGTAACATAATCAACAACTTCATATGGGAACTAGTGGAAACAGCTTTATTAGAATCAATAAAACAACAAAATATAATTAAACTATGGATTATTTTATCTGCATTGAGAAGTCATCGGGACATGTTTTACCTTGGTAAGGGACAAAAAAGAAATTTTCCTCAGAATATTAAAGAAACATCTGTATTATGTTTCAATAAATTTGCATTATGTTACCTTTTTTTCAAAGGTGACAATATCTAGTCTATGCCGAGATTTTGTAATGAGTGCCATGTGTGATTTTCTCTGTAATCAACATCATTCATTTTAAGATTGAATCCAATGATTCATCACATATCCTGTGTTTGCAGAGAAGAAAGTTTGGCTTAACGCAACTTTAAACATTTATTCATTTATGAATCGCAGCATGTCAGCTAGATGTGGGAGTAAAGTTGAAATTGACAGGTCCAGGATGTTTACCACTTCAGAGAAAACCCATGAATGTAGAAATGGTGCTGTTAAACCTTGAAACACAACCAAGGAAAAATCAAGGATTCTGGCACACCTACAACAACATAACAGGCCACTCAGCATAGTAAGGATGTCACAATACAGGTGTTTAACCACAAGATACAATCACCATATCTTGATACTGCGATCATGAGGTCATGATTCTGTGAAATATCACAACATAAACAGTAAATAATTTACTCTCAGCATAGTAAGGACCTTGCAGTTTGCAGAATGTGCAATGTAGTATCAGAATGTGCAATGTAGTATCTTAGGCAAAAACGAAGTTAGCAAGACTTGTTATCAATGCAGTCTCACGTTCGTCATAGGGACAAACAGATTATAACAGGCTTTAGTAAAAGTCTTTATATGAGACATTGGGGCAGCATCAAAATAATAATCAATATACATCAAAATATGAATCGATAAGAAAGCAAATGTCTCCTTTTGTGCAAAGCTTGGAGGTGATGCACCAGTGCATCAGTGAATCGTGACATTACTACAGCATTGGAGTGAGTGAGTGAGTTATTATTTAACGTCACATCGGCAATATTTCAGCCATATTGTGACGAGAACATATTTGATTTTGAAATGAAATATATGTATATTATCATAAAAATTACTGCCAGCATTGGAGGTGATGCAAGGACAGTAAAACAACTAGAATATCACAGATATGTATGTAAAACTAGTAATGAAATCTAAAACGCATTTTAACTATAGGGGAAAAACAATACAGTATAAAAATGGGCTATAAATCGCCAATAACTGAAGGTAGATCACCATACCAGGGACCATGGGGACTTACATTACTTTTGCTACCTGCATGGACCCTAGTTGGATTTACACCATCCCTTCAGCCATTTGACATTACTACAGAAGAGAAATCTAGCCATAAATTAAAAGCACATGCACCATATTCTACTACAGCATTAAAACCTGGTACACATTTAAATTGACTAAATGTTTTGGGACTTATGTACCCTCTCAGGTACAGCATTGGAGGTGATGCACCAGTGCATCAGTGAATCGTGACATTACTACAGCATTGCAAATTGCATTGCCTCAGATGACTGGGCTATCCGTGCAGCAACGAAGGAAACTTCACTGTAACCAACACAAGGTACTTACTCATATAGTGCTTCCTTCACAAAGACTGTGTCAGCCTGCATGTCCACAGGGATAAGCATATCAGGATGAGAGTCAAAATGGATCAAGGTTAGATCGCTGAATGGGAGATGTTTCGATCCAATATCTCGATGGATGAGAGGAACAACCTGAAATACATGGTACAAATAATCCTTTGGAAATGAAATGAGTGGTTATCTTTCAACAAGTTTAAACTGAGCATTATAATGGTTCACAGAAAACCAATTCAAACATTGAAATAAGTCACTGTAACTGGAACAGCTTGTCAAACCATGAAATTACAGGATTTCGTTTATTGCATACCCTCTTCTAGAAACCTTGGGCAGAAATTAATTTTGAAAAGCTGTTGACACAGAATCTATTATTTGTAAAGGGCAGTTCTTCTGCAATGTTGGTGTTCGTAACTCATGTATGAAATAACTTAAAATTGCCAACTCACTACTGAACTCAATCCCTGTTTCTACAGTCATACAAAAGATACATTTGGAGGACACGGTTGTGGTAGAGTGAAGGAAGTAATCATTACATGCTGAAAGGTAATGCATAGTTCTGACTTCCGAGCCAAACTCCGCCCACCTTGGTTACTGTTGCTACATCCCCCAAGCTTTGGGATGCCGAGCTGTCAAAATGGCGGATACACTGTCAGGCACCATTTGTCTGTTGACAGTTCCGACACAATATCTGTTGCATTCTTGCCAGATCATTCTACTTTGACGCAGAAATCGCAACAGAAAGGCTTAAACTATTTTTTCACTGGGTTATAGCCATGAGATACGAGTTTATAGCCATGACAACACCTCTGACATTGATGCCATGTGCTGGCGTTCAATGTCGAAGAATCGGAGCCCGCATACCCTCCATTTGAGGATTGACACAAGCGCCGAGAAGATCATTCACAGCTATTGTTCTTGTAAAGCTGGGTAAGTATGTCACTGATAAGAAATTGGTAAATCCTCATATAAATCACTTAAAATCAGTGAATCGAATAACTAGTTCCATCAAATGATGGACCCAGCCTATATTGATGTCCTGCAGTCTAACCGATGCCTAGCATCCATTATTTGGGCACAGCATAAGATTTAAAGTAGGAGCAGGGGTGTATAGGATTCACAACGTTTCAGATAGGAAATTTTGGTATCTTCTTCACACTGACCCAACTTCTACATGGCGATAAATAGAGACATGAATCTGCTGGTTTCACATCTTTAAAGAGGGAATATAGCATCTACTTGACGCTGGCCCAGGTTCTATTCACTTCTTTATTTTATTTTTGACTGAGTGTAAATTTAAGACATGGCGATAAATATTTGAGACAGCCATGTATGGTATTTCTGCCGATTTATATAGGATAAACGGTATCTACTTCAAGCCCCATACATTTACTACATGCAATATTAGCGACGTTCAACAGTACAATTCATTAAACATCATAAGTGAATATGTAAAGTTCTATGAATAATATTAATAAAGATATATCAGATACATCTACTAACCTCATGATGATTCTCAACAATGAGAACTGGAATGTTTTTTCGACTTTTAATTTTAGACATTTGTCTGAAATATTTTGTTCATGTATGGTCGCAATATCTCTAAGCTCTTCCCTGAATCATTTCAAACATTCCCGCGTTAGGTCACTCTGTTTAGCAAAACATGTGTTTCATGGGCGCTGACATTTTTCAATTCAGCAGTAAATGTTTCCGTCTTTGATTAAAGAGGAAAGCTTGACCGCACACTTCATATTAATTTAACGACCATATATGGTCTACAGTAAGAATTTACGGCCTACAGAATATTTGCTTTATTTTATTGTCATCCAGACTGATGATAACTATTTACTAGTTCCACACTGAAGATAGTGTTGAGTGTGGGAAAGAAAATGCCAAAAATGTGTGCACGTCTTTCGTGTGGTAGAGATTTCCATTGCGTTCCAGACATTAATACAGCCCTCGACACAGCATGCAAATCTGGGTAATTAGATGTGGATAGAGACATGTTATGATTAGTCTTAATTTTCGTGGTAGAGTCCTTCAGCTGAAAACTCTGCTTTCGTGACACCTATTTTCGTGAGTGCGATGACATTTAATTGCTGCCCGTAGGATCATACAAGAATCTTTGTTAATGTTGATCTGTTAACTGTACAAACCACTTTCTGTCTGTGGATTTCGCTTTATGAGGATCAGGTATACACTTGCCAATGTTTTTATTTTGTTCAGTGTCGTGTCAGCTGATTCGATCAAAATAATAGCGACAACAAAATAAAGCTGATGAGAATTGAATTCAGTTGTTGTTTTTTCTGTTCGTAACATTTCACTTTCTCCATAATTGTTTTCATATCTTCACAGGTTTGACTTTCTATGTCTTCCACTTGTAAATCCTCGGTATCGACGAGAGTTTATAAATGGCCCTGCGAAGAAAAGACCTGGTGCCCTTACCAGATCTGACATGGTGGTCTCCAGTCAAGGTACGAATCCTTGTGAGGGAGGTAGTGAGTGAATGTTACCATGGTTACAGTAACATTTGTGTCGTGTCAGCATGCAAATAAACAAGTCTGGACCAGACAAACCAGTGATTGACAACATATTCACCAGCATTTTACTAAACCTGCACTCCTGGATCCATTTGAATTGTTTTTGCACCCTTGATTTTCATTTGCCATTTTTATTTACTACATTACTCAGTCTAACAGACAAATCGGAATGAGAGTAACAGACCAGACTCAGTGATGGACTGGCAGTGTCAATGATATGGCAGTAAGTCCCACTGAATACATGGATGATTAGTATGGCTGAAGGGGTCCTTGTCGGTGCAGGTACTACAGAGATGTACCCTAAACGAAGTCAAATTACAGAAATGTACCATAGATCGATGCTCATGATGTTGATCACTGGATTGTCTGGTCCAGACTCGAATATTTACAGATGCCGCCATATAGCTGGAATATTGCTGAGTGCAGCTTAAAACTTAACTCACTCACTCACAAAATATTTGTAACTGTATATGCTCGTTTCTGATATAACACAATTAAATGCATCTAATACAGCAGTATGACAGTTCAAATCAAGAAAACAGCACAATGCGGAATGGGGTACGTTTCTGCATTCTGATTTTGGCTGGGGTACATTTTCTATAAACAGAAATGCACCTGGGGTACAACAAGTACCTGTGCCGGCAACGACCCTTCAGCATTATTATGATGAGGGGCGGTGGGGTAGCCTAGTGGTTAAAGCGTTTGCTCGTCACACCGAAGACCCAGGTTTGATTCCCCACATGGGTACGTGTGTAGCCCATTTCTGGTGTCCCCCACCGTGATATTGCTGAAATATTGCTAAAAGTAGAGTAAAACCAAATTCACTCACTCACTCATTAGTATGATGAAACACAACCAGTCTTTCAGAGCCTGAATATGTGATTCAGTATTTACCACATTTACCTTGTTTACAATGATGTGATGGGGCGCCTGGGTGTGTGGGTGTTCCTCTGTTCTTTTTCCAGGTTTCTTCACAAGCTTTGTATTGCACTGTGGGTGAAATTCTGGAAGGGAATATTGGGGCACCTGTACTTTCAGCTGTTCCCTTGTTTGTTTCCATGAGTATGTAACAGTTTAAACATGAAGTGGAAATTGAAGTATTACTCTTAAAAATGTATAGAGTGTTGAAAATATGTTTAGCATGAAGTGGACATTGAAGTTATACCTTATTTGACAATGTATCAATGTATGGAAAAATATGTATAACATGAATGGGAAAAAAAAGGAACAAAACAAATGATGTGATGGGGACCAACTGGTACACACACAGACAGAATGTATTGATTAATTTGTGAGGGCTTCATGTGGGAATAGAGATACTTCTCCCTCCTCCAACTTGCTTATGTGTGTGACTTTATGTTAGTTATGGACTTGTGTGTAAGTGTAAATTTGGTCTGATCGCTATATGGCTGAAATAAGGCCAATGCAACGTAAAACCTTCACTCACTCACCATAGATAATCTTGTTTCCTCTCTAAATAATTATTTTGTTTAAATTGGTATTTTTGAAGATATTGTCAGTGTTATTGTGTATTAATACTTGTCAGTATTTTTAGTTTTAACTTGGCAAATAAGGTATTTAAATAGCAAAGTGTAATTCATTTTAATATATTTGTGTTGCTACCAAGAATGAAGTATTGATGAATGTTGTTGTCTCCTTCCAGACTGGAGCAGCCTTATCGTTGGGAAAGTATCACCATGGTTACAGAATGATTCCAAAATAGATACCGTGAGAAAGAATTCTGATGCAGTAAGTCATTTATCAAGCTTTTATATAAAGCCGACAATTGATTGTTCTAGCCAAAACTGGGCATATTTCTGGTGATTTTGATAATTTTTCCTTAACCTGACTCATGATCTTTTGCTTATCTCCTTCTTCTATGCGAATGTTAGTGGAACACTTGAATCCCTTGTAGTTCCCTAAAGCGGACGTAAAAGTTCACTCACCCACGAGTTACCTCCCTTTTCCCACGTAAACAGTCATGTGACCAGCCATACTTGTCACTCTCTCCTTCATCAGGTGCTTTGCCAAGTACGTTGCAGGGGCAGTCGTCTGTTGCTGGGTCTAAGAAGAGGTCTTCGCAACGACCTCGCAGAGTAAGAAGAAGATGTCTTCATCGTCTGCGACACAGAAGAAGTCATCTTCAACTAGATCCTCGTTGAAATCAACTCGTCCCAGTAAGACAACACATCAGAGGTCGTTTAATGAAGAGATTGTGCTTCCTGACGAAGCAGACGTTTTTGCTGACCCTCCGATACTTCTACCTGAAGTACCTATTAGATCTGCTAGAATGGTGACGCAGTCGACCTCCACGACGACACAATCGTCTCCTGCAACTACGACAGCTGCTCAGCTGTTTGACGTCGGTCATCAGAGACAACATCAGCGAAGTAGACACACACAACACCTCAGCGTTCACGAACGCTTCATCCACACCACATCAGTTCCAGCCTACAGCGCAGAACTTCGATCCAGGTGACTTTATGAGGCAGTTTACTACGGAGATGATGGCCATGATGGAGCATTGGTTCGCCGAAGAAGCAGCAGCACGGCAGAACCCCACAATGGCAGACAATGTTCACAAACCCTCGGACCTTCGCGAACCTGAAAGATCTACATCTATGCCTCACAGGTCTACTACAACTAAAGACAACGTTCACGAACGTCTACAAACGTCCACATTCGCTAAGATCCTAACACTCTGATGACTCAATTAGCCCCGACCCCTTGGGGAGGAGTTCACCCGAGCACTGGCTCCGGGAGCGCTCAGACCCTGGGTTCCACAGCTGTCTCGAGTCTCGGCTTTTGTTCAGCATCGTTTCCCGGCGCAGGGGATAAGGGCTTTACCCTTCAACCCCTTAGCGCCTTGGCCAAAGGGCCGTTGAGTGTGCCAGGGGTACTGGTTGCCTCGGCGACTCGTGGCCTCCTTAGCGATGGTAAGTCAGGTCTTGACCGGATGCTTCTGCTGATGAGTTGTCAGGTGCACTGAGCTCGGTCGCTCTGTCACTACATGGCCATCTCGGGTTCCGGGACCGAGCTTAGGGCTCGACTAGGGGGCATGGGGAGTCAAATGCGTCAGCGCTTGTGCATCCCTTGTCATTCTCATTGTCCTCATCAGTGGCGGACTCAGAGGTATCCTCCTTGCGAGGATAGTTATGCTTCTGAGGATCGTGACATAGAGGCGATGGAAGATGATGAGGAGATGGAAGATGCCTTTGAGGAAAAGTTCTCCTTTACGTCTTCACTGAGGCAGGTACGCGATGGGATCGCTACTGTCCTGCCTCAGGTGGCGGTCCCTGAGTCCTGTCCGGATCCCTCGGATTTCAGCTTGCCTGGGGATGCTTTTGCTCCCTGCAAGGCTCCTGGGATGCGTGTTTGCGTATTTTGCTGCCTCTTATTACGGAAATTGTTAATCCACTCCTTATGGGCACACGGGCTAGGTTTGACTTATCAGACCTGAGTAGCCGTTATGTCATGGGGGAGGAGGATATATTTGAACCCCCAGCGGTTGACGAGTGTGTGTTCACATCAGGGTCACCCTGGGGGTTTGTCCACTCCAACATTCACCTCTACCAAACAGGGTCGGCGCCTACCGCCCTTGCCGGCTAATGGCTCTACACTGTGGGCAGCTTACCGTTCTTTTGAAGAACAATGCCGCAATGCTGCCCAGCAGTTGCGTATTGCGGTTCATTCAGCATACCTCTCCACTATGCAGCGGGAGCTGGTGAGCCAGGGTCGAGTCCCGATGATATCTTGTCTGTGACTCTCACACGGCTCGTGACTGCATACATTGCTGTGCGAGCCAGCTTATGTCTTCTGTTATGGGCATGCGCAGGTTGTGGATGTCGGTTTCCCGGTATTCCCCAGCCACTCATCAAGCCTTACTTTCACTCCCCTTTAGGTTGGGTGCTACCTTGTTCCCAGGGGTTCTGAAAGTTATCCGTGAGGCAGCGGAGGCGGTCAGTCAGTTTAAGGATTCAAAGCCTTTACTCGAGCACCCCTCCACTTCCCGCCCTAAGCCCTCGGTGATTCCTCCCCCTCTTCCCACCCACCTGCTTCAGGTAGGGGGTCTGTTCAATGGCTAAATATCCCTCGATTACCTCAGGTGTCCCCGGCTCTGGTCGGCATTCAGTCGGCAGAGCAGACAGGAGAAGATTCGTATCCACCTGGCGGCCATGCCCAGTCGGTTCCCGGGTACGACAAGTTTCCTACCATGGGGGTTCACTGTCTATTGCCTCACATCCCTGTCGGCGGCCGGCTTTCCCTCTTCCTGCCGGAATGGGAGAAAACCACCTCAAATCCCTGGGTCCTGTCCACACTCAGGGAGGGCCACTTGCCACAGTGGAAGCGGGACCCCCCTTCTTTCTCAGGAGTTCGGCACACCCAGGTGCCGGCCTCCCGGGAGAAGGCAGACGTTCTCCGCGCCAAGGTCCAGTCCCTGCTGGACAAGGCAGCCATCGAGGTGGTTCCAAGGGGCCAAGAAAGCATGGGGTTTTGTTCCACATATTTCCTGGTTACCAAAAAGGACGGAGGGTTCAGACCCATTCTGACTCTCAAAGGGCTTAACAATCTTATACAGGTACCGTCCTTTAAGATGGAGACACTATGTTCAGTCGAGGCAAGGGATTGGCTCACGTCAATCGACCTCAAAGACGCGTACCTTCACGTTCCTATTCATCCCGATTTCAAGCAGTACCTTCGGTTCTCTCTTCGACGGAAATGCTACCAGTTTCGTGTGCTCCCCTTCGGCATATCCACTGCGCCAAGGGTGTTCACCAAACTCATGCCAGTTCCAGCCCACATGGCCAGGTCACAGGCTCGGCTGTTGCCACCAGTACCTGGATGACTGGCTTCTCAGAGCTCTCGCCCAGCAGTTCAGTCGGGATACCACTCACGCAGTGATGGATATCCTGATCAAACTGGGCTGGATTATCAACCTCAAGAAATCAGACCTGGTTCCAACATGGGATCTAGTTTTCTTGGGTGCGAGATTCAATACAGAGCAGGGTATTGTCTCCCTGTCTCAAGACCGCATCGTCAAAGTTCACAGGACTGTTACTCAGTTTCTTGCATCCCCCGTGGTGTCAGCCCGGACATGGCTCCGGTTGCTAGGCACCATGACAGTGACAGTGGATGTGGTTTGGCGTGCGCATCTGAGGATGAGGCTGATACAGCAGGCTTTGCGCCAGCTGTGGTCACGCTCGGACAGTCTCGAGGCTCAGGTCGTGCTGCCAGAGTGGTTGATTCCTCACTTGCGGTGGTGGACAGAAGTCGGGAACTTTTCCAGGGGGATCCCTCTGGAGTTACCGACGCCAACACTCTCAGTTCAGACGGACGCCTCCCTCACAGGGTGGGGGGCATGTTCTCGGTGACCGGACAGTCTCGGGCCTGTGGTCGTAGCACAAGGTCAGTCTACACAGATTCCCATTCAGAGGTCAACACTTCCAATGGAGCGTCCTACCGTTTGGAATATCGTCGGCTCCGGGGTTATTCACACGAGTGACCAAGCCCATCGTCACCTATCTACATCGTCGAGGTCTACACAGTGCCTTTTATCTGGACGACGGGATACAGGTTCATCAAGAAGCCAGTCAACTCAGAGTTGGAACCAAAACAAGATCTTCAGTTCCTGGGAATAAGATTTATCACAACACAGAATCGAATTGTGGTCCCAGAAGATCGTTGGGTCAAGATACAAGCCATGATTCCTCAAGCAGTCATCTCTCTGTTACCACTATGAACATGGCAGTGTCTACTCGGTCTACTAACCTCAGCGCAGGACTTGACTCACACAGGAAGACTACAGCTACATCTGTTGCAGCATTTCCTGGCAAAACTTCTGGATCCCGCCTGGACCTGATCTCGCTACTAGACAATCTCAAGATGTACCTGCTATGGTGGACTCACAGGTTGAATGTCTGCAGAGGGACCTATTTTCACGAGCCGGTCTTCGACACACGCATTTACGTAGATGCATCACTACAAGGATGGGGAGCGCATCTCGACAACAAAGTAGCATCAGGGAAGTGGTTGAAACAAGAACATATTCACATCAATCTGCTGGTAATGAAAGCTGTGATCAACACCTTACAACATTGGTTGAGCTCACTGATCAACAGAATGCTGATGATTCACACGGACAACTCAACAGTGGCATTCTCCATAAATCGGGAGGGATCAACGAGATTACCAAGCCTACTTCAGCTCACCTTCCAGTTCAAAATCGCGGAGGAAGCAAACATCTGGTTAAGGGCGTGTCAGATTCTGGGAGCAAAGAACGTACCAGTAGACGCTCTATCTCGTCCACTTCATCCGTCACCTACGGAATGGATGCTCCACCCAGAGGCATTTCGGCTCATCATAATGGAAATAGGATCTCCCTGCATAGACCTGTTCACCACAAGGTTCAACAAACAACTACAGACATTCGTCTCACCAGTACCAGATCCTCAGGCCTGGACTACAGACGCACTGAGCATGTCATGGGAAGGACTAAACACATACGCGTTTCCGCCTCCGATTCTACTACCGAAAGTACTATTGAAGATCAAATAGACCCAAGAGCTACAACTGACTTTGGTCGCACCCTATTGGTCAGTGAGAGTCTGGTTCCTAGATCTAGTACAAGAACTCCGAAGTCCAACCCTCAAATTACCAGAATGGCGGAACCTCCTCATACATCCGCACACCAAGCAAGTCCACGGGAACCCACTAATGTTCCAGCTACGCGTATGGACTGTATCAAAACTGAGGATACTCCGCCAGAGCAGTGAAAGCAGTAACTTTAGCGCTTCACAGATCAACTCGTAACTTGTAAAACGACAAATGGCTGAAATTTGAGCAATATGCAAGCCGGAAAGGCTTCACAGCAATGAAAGCAAATCATCCTCAAGTGGCGGAATATCTATGTCACCTTAGATATACAAGGCATTTGAAAGGTTCGACATTATCTACATACCTGGCAGCTATTAGTACAGTTGTCACTATGAAGTCAGGCATCAAACTGACGAAAGTGCCAGAACTACTTGCTCTGCTACGCTCTTTTAAACTGGAAGACCAGCAAAAGAAATTCAGAGCACCAGCCTGGGATCTGAACGTAATTCTACGACATCTCATGAGTGTTGCCTACGAACCTCTTCGAGCTACTCACACAAAAATCTCTGTTCCTCCTTGCCTTAGCTACGGCAGCTTGAATGTCAGAGATACATGCGCTGGACTTTGGACGAACTAGATTCGACACCGTGCTGCAGTACATCTAGGACTTAGATGGGACTTTATTGCAAAGAATCAGTTGCCTGGCCAACCAGATAGACAGTTCCACGTCCCAGTGCTATCTACAATCCTCGGACCAGAGGACACCCAGGACCTATCCTTGTCTCCTGTCAGAGCCCTGAAAATATATCTTCAAAAGACTAAAACAAGGAGAAGAAAATTCAAGCGCCTATTCATCCCCTTGTCAACGGAGACATCTGTAGAAGTCTCAAGAACGACAATATCGTTTTGGATGAGAGCCGTACTGAGGGCCTACAAAGCAGCAGGATTAGAACCTCCAAGAGCTTCAAACCCACATGAAGTCAGAGCACTAGCATCTACACTCGCTCTGCACAGAAACTGCTCAATATCATCAATAATGGAGGGCTGCTTTTGGATGTCGGATACGGTGTTTGCCAACCACTACCTCAGAGACATATCCACCGAAGACGTCTCCGGCATTCACCAGTTTGGGCCACTTGTTGTAGCACAGCGACTAACAGTTCCACAAAGGCGCTGAGTTGGAAATCTCACCCTTTACCCTTACGTTGACTTTTTGATAACTTTTACTCTGGAGAAGTTTTAGTTTGAAAGTCCATGCGCACCGTCTAGACTAGACTAGCATGAGTGATTAAGACTTTGTACGGGTAACGATCTTACCTGTACATTAAGGGGTCACAACTCATTTATGATAAAGATCTTTTAATCTATAGGTTGTTATAGATAACTAGTAAAAAGAAGATTCTAGCATATCTAAAATCCACATGAATCTATAAGATTCACTTGTCTGAGAGAGAAGTATGACAAGATTGTGGTCCCCCCGAAAGTTTATAATGGAAGTTGGAAGAATAGGATCTAGGAAGTGCCGTTACACAGTTCCCATGGAAGGGATACAGAATGTATCTAAGGACAGCTGATGAATTCACGAAGTGGCTTGACCCACCTCCAATCCGTGGGATTCTATAAGCAAAAGATCATGAGTCAGGATAAGGAAAAATATGTAATTTTTAAAGTAAATTTGATATTTTATACTTATCCTGACTCATGAGGTCAAGCCCTCCCAACCTCCCCACTGAAGACACTTGAGGTTTCACAGTAAATCCAGGTGCATGGGCTAAATTCAGGATAGAGTGGCAAGTATTGCTGGTCACATGACTGTTTGCGCAGGAAAAGGGAGCTAACTCATGGGTGAGTGAACTTTTACGTCAACTTTAGGGAACTACAAAGGATTCAAGTTTTCCACTAACATTCGCATAGAAGAAGGATATAAGCAAAAGATCATGAGTCAGGATAAGTATAAAATATCAATTTTACTTAAAAAATTACATTTTCTTAAATTGTGAGTCTTTGAACATGAAGATCCAGTTTAGAATTGGTTTTAAAACAACCCATGCTAGTTGTACAGACGCCACCATATAGCTGGAATAATGCTGAGTGCAGCATTAAACAACCAACAGAACAATCAATCTAGTCATCTCCCATTGCATCCTTTGCAAGAACTGACAAACTGTGGAAACGTCACTGTCTGGTGATCCACTAGTCTTGGCCATCACAATTTGTTGTGCAGAGTTACATCTCTCGACCGAGGCAAAAACTTCCTTTATGTTTTGAAGCCTGATTTGCCCTGTTTATGTGTCTTTGTGTCGTCAACACCATACCAGGGGCTGTAGGGTAGCCTAGTGGTTAAAGCGTTTGCTCGTCATGCCAATGACCCGGGTTCGATTCCCCACATGGGTACAGTGTGTGTAGCCCATTTCTGGTGTCCCCGGCTGTGATATTGCTGAAATATTGCTGAAAGCTGCATAAAACTAAACTCACATACACAACACCATGCCATCACTTGTTGGTTTCACCTGTGGTGAATGTACCCCAGGCCAACATTACTTTAGGTCTTCATCCCATATGAAGCTGCCATGCTGTGACATAACCGAACTGCCATTAAAAACATCTCCCTTAAAAACCCGACTGACTCCTTCTATTTCCAGGCTCTGAGGCAGGAGCTGAAGTATGCTGCTCATCTGGGGATGCCGGCCATTATGGTGCCGCTGAAGAGTCGAAACATTCTCAACCTGGCCCGCTGCCTCAACGAACACATGCTCTGCAGCTACTTCCAGCAGGTACTACAACTCCGTAGTATAGGCATCACAGGAGCCATACAGTCCGTTTGAGTCAGAAACGGACCGATGAATTGCAAATTTTATCATTGTACAAAATTGCCACATAAATATAAATAGTACACATTATTATCATTTACTAATACCCAACAGCTTTCTTATATTTGAAAATTTTCCGGACTCCACCAAAAAAGTTCTTTAAGAAACTATCATTAAAATTTTGACACAGTTCACTATTTGTTATGAGGGAGGAGTGCAGAGAAAGGGACAGCCAGGTGTTAGAGAAGCATGTGCACAAGTGCCCACCAAGTTATTGATTCATTAGCCTGTGCTGTGCCGTCTCCATCCTTTCTCGCACACCTGGCGAAATTTTCAAATATAAGAAAGCTGTTGGGTATTAGTAAATGATAAACATGTGTACTGTTATATTTGTGTGGCAATTTTGTACAATGATAAAATTTGCAACTTATCGGTCCATTTCTGACTCAAACGGACTGTAGGTTATGGTATAGAACTAACAGGGCCCTTTGAATACGACGTCAGTTAAACAAGCACTGATGAAGGAAGAGTTGAAGTCATGATCAGCTTTGGTAGAGGGCATCATTAAGAATGAGATCTTTTGTAATGGAGTTGTGTTTACGATATTTTGAAAAATGAAATCCAGTACCAATTTTTGGAGACAGTATTGTGAATTGTCAAAATTGCTATCAGCTGTAATTCATGAAGGAAACATAAAAAAATATAAAATTATGAAAAAACTCATTGGTGACAGTAGGACATCTGAGATGAAGGATGAATGATCGGGATTTATGATGTTATTTTTACAAGTTTACTGAGACTTGACACTGCAGTCTTCAACTTCAACAGTGTCGTTATACTGTGTGTATATTTACACTACTTTGTATGGATATCTGTTGTGAAATAGGAGCATCATTGTAGCATTTGGTAAAAGCAACTATTTTACAGAAACAAGGGATGAATCCATATGAATTACATTGACTTGATCAAGTTGTTGTCATGGTAGTATAATAATGTATTGTCCATGTTGTAGCAGTTCTGGATGCAGGTGCCCCTGGTGGCTCCGTGGGACCAGCGAGATGATGTGATCGAAGGACTTGATGGTGGAGATTCCCCCACTGAAGATACATGGGAATGGTATGATACCTTAATAGCCTGTGATCATCGAGTAGGCTGAAAGACATCCTGTTACCCCTGTGACCATAGAGTAGGCTGAAAGATGCCTTGTTACCTGTGTGACCATAGATTAGGCTGAAAGATGCCTTGTTACCTGTGTGACCTTAGATTAGGCTGAAAGATGCCTTGTTACCTGTGTGACCATAGATTAGGCTGAAAGATGCCTTGTTACCTGTGTGACCATAGATTAGGCTGAAAGATGCCTAATTACCTGTGTGACCATAGATTAGGCTGAAAGACACCCTGTTCCCCCTGTAACCTTGGAGTAGGCCATATGACACCTTGTTACCACTGTTACCTCAGAGTAGTCCATTAGACACCTTGTTACCACTGTAACCTTAGGGTAGGCTGTAAGACACCTTGTTACCCTGTAACCTCAGTAGTCCATATGACACCTTGTTACCACTGTAACCTTAGGGTAGGCTGTAAGACACCTTGTTACCACTGTAACATTAGAGTAGGCCAAAGGACACCTTGTTACCCCTGTAACCTTAGGGTAGGCTGTAAGGCACCTTGTTACACCTGTAACCTTAGGGTAGGCTGTAAGACGCCTTGTTACGACTGTAACCTTAGGGTAGGCTGTAAGACACCTTGTTACACCTGTAGCCTCAGAGTAGGCTGTAAGACACCTTGTTGCCCCTGTAACCGTAGGGTAGGCTGTACGACACCTTGTTGCCCCTTTAACTTTAGGGTAGGCTGTAAGACACCTTTTTGCCCCTGTAACCTTAGGGTAGGCTGTAAGACACCTTGTTACACCTGTAACCTCAGGGAAGGCTGTTAGACACCTTGTTACACCTGTAGCCTTGGGTAGGCTGTAAGACGCCTTGTTACACCTGTAGCCTTAGGGTAGGCTGTAAGACACCTTGTTACCACTGTAACCTTAGGGTAGGCCAAAGGACACCTTGTTACCCCTGTAACCTTAGGGTAGGCTGTAAGACACCTTGTTACACCTGTAACCTTAGGGTAGGCTGTAAGACACCTTGTTACACATGTAACCTTAGGGTAGGCTGTAAGACGCCTTGTTATGACTGTAACCTTAGGGTAGGCTGTATGACGCCTTGTTACACCTGTAGCCTCAGAGTAGGCTGTAAGACACCTTGTTGCCCCTTTAACCTTAGGGTAGGCTGTCAGACACCTTGTTACACCTTTAACCTTAGGGTAGGCTGTAAGACACCTTGTTGCCCCTTTAACCTTAGGGTAGGCTGTAAGACACCTTGTTACCCCTGTAACCCAAGTGTAGGCTGTAAGAGGCGTTGTTACACCTGTAACCTTAGGGTAGGCTGTAAGACACCTTGTTACACCTGTAGCCTTAGGGTAGGCTGTAAGAGGCCTTGTTACTACTGTAACCTTAGGGTAGGCTGTAAGACACCTTGTTACCACTGTAACCTTATGGTAGGCTGTAAGACACCTTGTTGCCCCTGTAACTTTAAGGTAGGCTGTGAGACACCTTGTTACACCTGTAATCTTAGGGTAGGCTGTCAGACACCTTGTTACACCTGTAGCCTTAGGGTAGGCTGTAAGACGCCTTGTTACACCTGTAGCCTAAGGGTAGGCTGTAAGACACCTTGTTACACCTGTAGCCTTAGGGTAGGCTGTAAGAAGCCGTGTTACGACTGTAACCTTAGGGTAGGCTGTAAGACACTTTGTCACACCTGTGGCCTTAGTGTAGGCTGTAAGACACCTTGTTGCCCCTGTAATCTTAGGGTAGGCTTTAAGACACCTTGTTACACCTGTAACCTTAGGGTAGGCTTTAAGACACCTTGTTACACCTGTAACCTTAGGGTAGGCTGTAAGACACCTTGTTACACCTGTAACCTTAGGGTAGGCTGTATGACACCTTGTTACACCTGTAACCTTAGGGTAGGCTGTATGACGCCTTGTTACACCTGTAACCTTAGGGTAGGCTGTATGACACCTTGTTACCCTTGTAACCTTAGGGTAGGCTGTAAGACACCTTGTTACCCTTGTAACCTTAGAGTAGGCTGTATGACACCTTGTTACACCTGTAACCTTAGGGTAGGCTGTATGACACCTTGTTACCCTTGTAACCTTAGGGTAGGCTGTAAGACACCTTGTTACCCTTGTAACCTAGAGTAGGCTGTATGACACCTTGTTACACCTGTAACCTTAGGGTAGGCTGTATGACACCTTGTTACCCTTGTAACCTTAGGGTAGGCTGTTAGACATCCTGTTACCCCTGTAACCTTAGGGTAGGCTGTAAGACACCTTGTTACACCTGTAACCTTAGGGTAGGCTGTATGACACCTTGTTACACCTGTAACCTTAGGGTAGGCTGTATGACACCTTGTTACCCCTGTAACCTTAGGGTAGGCTGTAAGACATCCTGTTACCCCTGTAACCTTAGGGTAGGCTGTAAGACACCTTGTTACCCCTGTAACCTTAGGGTAGGCTGTAAGACACCTTGTTACACCTGTAACCTTAGGGTAGGCTGTAAGATGCCTTGTTACACCTGCTACCAGAGTGTGTGGCAAGACACCATTTTGCCCCTTCCAAGACATAGTGACATCCTTTGCAATTCTTCACTTTCCAATTAGCCTCCTTAGGGCTATTACTTTGGAAGATAAATCCATGTCATCACCAGCTGTTTACATCTACAGGTGGCATCTGTTTCGCACACTGTGTGACTGCAACAAGAGACTGGGCATTTGTCTGGAGATGACCGCTGATCTACCCAGTGAGAGTGTCCTTGAGAGGTGGCTGTCCGAACCCATCAAAACAGTCAGCATGTCCACAAACCTGTTCCTCACCAACAAGAAAGGCTATCCAGTTCTGTCAAAGGCTCATCAGTCCTTCCTAAGGAGGCTGTTCAGGGTACAGTGACACAAACAACTTAACAACCTCAGGGTCTCATTTCTTTCTTGATACAGCTGAAGGGGCGGTGGGGTAGTCTAGTGGTTAAAGCGTTGGCTCGTCATGCTGAAGACCCGGGTTCGAATCCCCACATGGGTACAATGAGTGAAGCCCATTTCTGGTGTCCCCCACCGTGATATTGCTGGAATATTGCTAAGAGCGGGGTAAAACCAAACTCAATCAGTCAGTCAGTTGATACAGCTGAAGGAGTTTTCAGAGATGATGTGCTGGCCAAACCAGAAGCAGTTTACCCAAGACAATCATATCTTATAAATAGCCAGCTGTTTGACCTTGGACAGGGCAGGGTGGGATGGTTGTGTAGTTTTGTAGACAAGTAGCCTATAGGTTACCCTTCTTTAATGTAAGGAAATGCAATTAATTCAAATCAGCTGTGGTACTCAGATAATAACCAGTGTGTAAAGATATCACAACCCTTCCACAGGAACCTACTCATGAGTCAATCTGTTTCAAGGCCTCTAAGTTCCTTCTATGCAAAGTTAGGTAGCCACTTCCAAATGTAAACAATAAAGGCCATGCGATGATAATTATGTGGATATTTTAGGTGTCCTGTCGTTTTTTGATGCCATGGCATATACGTCCATAATCAGTACCATTTAATAAATATTTTTGCTCTGCATGGTTATCTTTTGTTAAAATGTAAGTAAAAACAAGTCTTAGAGAAGTCTGATTGACTTCAGAGCCTCATGATACTACATTTAGATTAGGTGGGCAAAGTTTCCTTGGAATAAAAGTATACGGTGTGATTATAGAGAAATTGCAGGGAATACAGATATTCGCAGGAAGATTCACATTTTTCTTCTGCACAGTAGGGGCGGTAGGGTAGCCTAATGGTTAAAGCGTTGGCTCGTCACGCCGGGTTTGATTCCCCACATGGGCACCATTTCTGGTGTCCCCCGTCGTGATATTGCTGGAATATTGCTAGAGCGACGTAAAACCCAACTCACTCACTCACTCTTCTGCACAGTATGCCATCCCCTATAGATTTTTGAATCATTGTGTATGACCTTGGTTTGTATGTTTGCAGTTGGATGTACAGCTGATTCTGACAGGCGTGGACCGACACCCAGACAAGGGCATCCGGGCGTACCAGCAATATCTGGACCATCTCTGGCAGGTCAGGACTCTTCATGTACCTTGTACCATGTGTCATGTACCATGCCATACCATGTTTTGTACCATGGTGTGGTCTTGTACCACTGTTTTGTATCTGTATCATGGTGAGGTGTTATCTTGGTGAATTCCTTATGATGGTGAGGTGTTTTGGTATTGTACCAAGTTGAGGTGTTCGTACATCATACCTCAATGGGGGCGGTGGGGTAGACTATTGATTAAGTGTTCGCTCGTCACGCCGAAGACCGGGTTCGATTCCCAACATGGGAACACTGTGTGAAGCCCATTTCTGGTGTCCCCCGCTGTGTAATTGCTGGAATATTGCTAAAAGCGACAATTAACTCACTCACTCACTCACTCACTCACTCATACCTCAATGTGGTACAAAACATGGTAAAACATCTCAACAAAGTACAAAAGTTGTTTAGTACTATAGTGAGCTGTCCATATTATGTTTGATGCACAGTTTAGTTAGAATTGTTATCCCCCGAAAAACGGGGTTTTTTGGGGTGTGGGTGTGTGTGTGTGTTTGTGTGTGTTTGTGTGTGTTTGTGTTATTAAAATGGACTCCGTCCGTCCGTCCGTGCACATTTGTCTTTTCCGGCGCAGAACTCTAAATCGTTCAATATTTCTTCACCAAACTTGGCACATAGATAGATCTGGTGGTGTACTGGTGCTTTTTGGTAGTTTTGGAATTCTGAATAAAATAGTTTTGGCGTTTCCATGGCAACAAGTTTGACTTAGCCTTAAATTGGTGGTAGTGCTCTTTTCCGGAGTTGAACTCTAAAATCGTTCACTATTTCTTCACCAAACTTGGCACATAGATTGGTCTGGTGGTGTACTGGTTCCTTTTTAGTAGTTTTGGAATTCTGCATAAAATATTTTTGGCATTTCCATGGCAACAAGTTTGACTTAAACAGAAATTAGTGGTAGTGCAACTTTTCCGGAGCAAAACTTTAAAACCGTTCAATGTTTCTTCACCAAACTTGGCACATACATAGATCTGGTGGTGTACTGGTGCCTTTTGGTAGTTTTGGATTTCTGAATAAAATATTTTTGGCATTTCCATGGCAACAAGTTTGACATAGACTGAAATTGGTGATAGTGCTCCTTTCTGGAGCAGAACTTTAAAAACCTTTCAATACTCTCCTTCCACTTTTCTATATACACCCCTAAATATTTGACAAAATCATAACTCGTAGACATAATCATGAAGAGTATTTTGCCATTGAGGGGGATATTGATGACTTTGTCTTCTTGTTTAATTTGAACTGGAATACAAAAAGTGTGCTCTTGATAGTGATTAGAGAGTAATAAGTTCATTTCCTTTTGTGTCCAGTAGAAGCAGTGAGGGCTTAGTTGGGCCTGGGTCATCTTGTGGTTCCTGTCCCCCCAAAGTATTATAATAATAAATATCAGCATGATTCAGTTGCTGATGAACCTGATGGCTTTGTTTATGTCCAGAACCAGACTCCCCCAGATGCTATCAGCCAGTTCGCCAGGGGATACGAGGACTACCTCCAGTCTCCACTACAGGTAAGTTGGAACATGAGAAACACTCTTGGCAGAGCATCACGAAGGAACCATCCTTCTATTTCTGAAAATCTGTGAAGATCTGGGTTAGAATTGATCTTCAGCTAGTCATGCTTGTCGTAAGAGGTAACTAAAGGGTGGTCAGCCACGCTGACTTGGTTGACATATGTCATTGTATCCCAACTGCGTAGATCGATGGTCCTGATGTTGATCACAGGATTGGCTGGTCCAGAATTACTTATTTACAGACTGATGCCATATAGCTGGAATATTGCTGAGGGCGGCGTTAAACAACAAACCATCTTCTGAATCGAAAAGGGAGTGAAAATCTCCCAGTATTCCATGTTTGCTGTTGGTGACATGACATAAAGAGAACTAGTTTTGTCTGGGCCCTGTAGGCTGCCATGACATGTCAGATGTTTCATTATGATACGATATCTGTTTTTACTGTGATGATCTGAGGGCACCGTCATTATTAACCTTTCTCATCATCCGTGTTGATGCTTCTATATTCTTGGTACACATAAACTCTGTTTCCAGATCACAGAAGTAAGGTTTATCAACCAGTTCTCTATGTACAATATAAATCTTCTATCGAGACCTGCCAATGTCTTAACAAAAAGGGGTATTGTAAGATCGTAAGTATAGATCAGGGCTTTCAGAAGTGGAAGCGCCCGCTTTAATTAATGCTTTGTCAGGAAATGTTCATGTGAGGTGTTTACGTCAGGACAGTCGCACATCAGTCATAAAACTCCCATACTTTAACGCAGACTTGCGACTGTGATCGCTTTGATGAACGGGACTCTGATGCGTTATTTATACACTGTCTTGATGTACCTGGATTGTGCCTGATTTCTGGAATCAGGAATATATTCACCCATATTTTCACTTATTTGCAGCCACTGATGGACAACCTGGAATCTCAGACATACGAAATTTTTGAGAAGGACCCAATAAAATACTCACAATATCAAAAGGTAAACCATTTACTGTACATGCCATGCTCTTGTTCTGTAAGTCGCTTTCCTGTGAATAAGTGCAAAATTGCTGATGTACAATATTCAATTGAGCCCTATGTGCCTGATAGCCATCAATCACTTGATCGCCACCACGATTCAGCTACCGCCTCCGTGGTGTAGTGGTTAGAGTGTCCGCCCTGAGCGTCATACCAAAAGACGTTAAAATATGGTACTTGTTGGTCCCTGCCTGGCGCTCGGTATTAATGGGTACAACAAGGACTGGTCGCTTCGGAGTCAGTATAATGTGTCTGAGTGAGGTATTCATTCTTCACTGCGGCATGGTATCTCAGTGGGCTAGCACTATAAAACCAGCTTAAGTCTGGGCTAGTACAAGCAGCCGCACATACACATACACACGCATGCACGTCGTCATATGAGCGAAATATTCTCAAGCACGACGTTAAACCCAATTCCCCACCACCACTACTGTAAGCGTATTATATTTGGCGCGCAGGTTTTATTTTCGGCTTTTCGGCAAGCAAAACATTTTAAGCGAAAATTTATACACAGCGAATAAACCTGTCATTCATTCAGTCTATGCGCTCGCCCTGAGTTGTTACCATAACACATCAAGTTTGAAGACAGAAATCTCTACGGAATCTTAAAATGGCGACTGATAGTAGCATAAAGAATCATACTTAACTGTCGCTGTAATGGATTTCCCAAAACATAATTAAATAATGAGCCAAATCCCATCGCGAATTAGCGAAAACAGCAATGTGTGTTGTGGCGCCATGGAAATTGGTCACATGACAGATGGTTTGATACAAAACAGATTACCATGAAGCGACTTCGGAAAGAAATAATACAGCAGTATTTTATTTATTCATTAAGATTTTATTTACCAGTACATCATGAAGCGAATAGTCACTTAACACTCAATCATCTCATTCACAACAACCCGGCTTGTTTGAAATCACAAAGAGCTTCATATACAGTAGAAGTTAATTAGATCAGATCGTCAGAATTGAACATAAGACTGATGTGTTTTTCATCTCTTCCGTGAGTAAACGGATTACTGTGTACTAGTATATCGCACAGATAGGGATTTCCTGTGAGTAAGCAATAAACGCCGCCTGACAGGTTAAGCCACTCTGTTTGTTTTCACTGCTATTAGTGGCGGCCAAAGAGACAGCTGGCAGTTCCGGCAATTACTGATTAGCGAATAATTGACCGCGCGATGTAGTCTAAACTGTCAATTCCGCGAAAATTGCACCACGCGAAAATAAGTACGTTGACAGTATCTTATGTTTGACTCATAGCATATGAATATGATTTATGTGAACATTAACTTACACCAATTATGTTTTCCATTTACAGTATGGACAAAATTGCTTATGAGATCAAACATTGGATTGTCACGTTCAGGCTTGATTATCTACAGAGGTCTGTCATATGGCTGGAAATTTTTAAACTTATCCTATCTCACGGTATGTGCCCATTCATCCGGATTCGCAGAAATTCCTCCGTTTCGTGTTCCAAGGGATCCATTATCACTGGACCGTCCTGCCTTTTGGAATTTCCACGGCCCTGTGGCTATTTACCAGGATCACCAAGCCGATCACCAAGTTTCTTCATCTCCACGGGGTCGTGTTCGAAAGTTACATAGACGACTGCATTCAGGCACAGATAGACCCAGTCGTTCTTCTACGTCAGTTGGAGTTCAGTATGAAGCTTCTTTGGCAACTAGGTTGGTTGTTAAACGCTGCGAAGTCGGAACTAACACTGACCCAGACCCTTCAATTCATCGGGGCAACTTTCGACATGCACCAGGGCCTGATTTTCGTCCCCCAAGACAGATGGCTGAAAATTCAACGGTTATTTCCGTTAGCACTGTCGCAGGCCAGGACCTTACGACAGTGGCAGGAACTTTGGGGCCTCTTGACATCGGCACAGGCATTGACACAGCGGACACAATTGCAACCATGTCCGTTGCAGCGATTCCTGCGTCCATATCTCGTCTCAGAGAATCTCAAGGAGTTGATTCGTCTTACCAAACCCTTACGTCCTTTTCTTCAGTGGTGGCTTGTAGAACAGAACGTTTGCGCCAGAGTTTGTTTGATGCCCTTCATTCCAACGCACTGCTTGTTCGTCGACGCATCGCTCGGGGGGCTCACTTCATCATCAGACAGCCAGGCTGTGGTTGTCCGCAGAATAGGACTTGCACATCAACGAACTCGAGTTCTTGGCGGTTCTTCTCGCCATTCGACATTGGGCGACGGAACTTCGGGGGTCCTCCCTGCTGATTCAGACAGACAACTCCACGGGCGTCTGATACATCAACCATCTCAGGTCGACAGGTTCGGCAAACCTTCTTCAGTTGGTGTTTCGGTTCTTCCATCTGATCGACTCCCTCGCCATCGATGCTCCAGCCAGACACATTCCCGGAGTCAAAAATGTCATCGCAGATGCGGTGTCCTGCTCCGATCGGCCATCTCCCATGGAGTGGCAATTGAACCCACAGATCTTTCTGGAACTGATCTTCCTGTTATCAAGGCCCAAGTCGACCTATTCTCCAGGCAGTTCAACCATCAACTCCTGCAGTTTGTCTCGACGATACCAGACCAACTAGCATGGGATCTTGACGCTCTGGCGATTTCGTAGGAGGGGCTCAACGCTTACACCTTTCCCCCTCTGGCTCTTCTACCCAGAGTCATCCATAAACTCCGGGTGACCAGACAGATTCTACTGCTTTTGGTCGCACCTTACTGGCCAGTCAGGAGTTGGTTTGTCGATATCGCACAGCTCGCAGACCTAAACCCAGTTCCTCTTCCCGATCGGGACTACCTAATGTTACACCCTCACTCGGATCGGCATCATACCTTCGCACCCTGTCTCTGCACGTTTGGCGCATCTGCAGAAGTCCTTAATTGCCAAGGGGTATTCTCGGAGAGTGGCTATGGCCATCACTTCTGCTCATCGGACTTCCACCCGCTCACTTTATGATGAGAAGTAGAAATGTTTTGAGAGATATTGCACGTTGTCCAGAGGCATTACATCTCCCGTTTCTACTTCAGCCTCAAATCGTCGCTGAGTTTCTTTAGCATTTGCGTTCGTCTAAGAAGCTCAAGAGTTCCACTTTGGCCACTTACCTTGCTGCAATCAACTCGGTCCTGGCTACCACCACAGGCTCTAAGGTCTCGACGGTTCCAGAGCTTCAGTATTTGCTCCGGTCTTTCAAGTTGGCCGATCAGTCTAAGAAGTTTAGACATCCTGCATGGGATTTATCTGTGGTGCTGCGTCATTTGGCCTCGGCGGACTATGAACCCCTAGCTCAGAAGGACTTTGAGAAGATCTCCTTCAAGACCTTCTTCCTTGTGGCCTAGGCTACAGCTGCTCGGATTTCTGAACTCCACGCTTTGGACGTTAACAGAGTCCAGTTCGAACGGAAGAAGCATGGCAAAGTCTTCCTTGGTCTCCGTTGGGATTTTGTAGCGAAGAATCAGTTGCCCGGGACAACCCGATCGTACTTTTACCATCCCACCATTGTCCACAATCCTGGGCCGCATGACAATGAAGACCTGTTAGGGCTTTGAAGATTTTTCTTGCTGCTTCTAAAGATCACCTCCATCTCCGCAAGCGCCTCTTCATTCCGTTGTCCTCAGCATCCAGGGTGGAAGTGTCTCGCAACACATTATCCTTCTGCATGAGAGCCACCATCCTACGGGCTTACACCTTCGCTGGATTACCGGACCCGACAGCTTCCAATCCACACGCGTTAGCGTCTACAATGGCTCTGCATAGTAACTGCTCTCTCCACACCATTATGGAAAGATGCTTCTGGTGATCCAACTCGGTCTTCTCCTCGCACTACCTTCCGGACCTCTCAGTCAAGGATGTCCAAGGCCTGTACCAGTTCGGCCCCTTTGTTCTCGCACAATAGCTGTCTACAGCCCACCAACTTGATGTCTGCCTTATGTTTTGATTGCTTATGGGTTAGAACTACTTCACTTAGTATCTCCGTGTCTTAGTATAAAACTACCACCTCGGTGGTTGGATGAATCTGGAGCTCGATTCTGTATCACGATGTGGAAGGGTTCGACATTTCACGTTTCCTGACCTCTACTTTTCGAAGCAATTACGTCAGTGAAGTGTGTCACTCCCGAATTCCAGTGGATTTCGTTGCGTCCTGACTCCAAAGTTGCCAGGCTCATCCTTTGACTAAGCTTATGTAAATGAGTGAGGGTCAATTTGATGTTGACTGGAACTGAACGTTAAAACTGCGAGTTTTCCGAGTTGTGCTTCTCTTTGACCCGCCCCTGGTCGGTGTCTGTGGGGGTCTTCTCGAAGCAGGGGCTGGCCCGATTATTGTCTATGACTTTAATTTAAGGGGTACCTTCAAAATCGTGGCGAAGTGACATCCTTTCTCGCTGAGCAACGTCCTTCTTCGGAGGTTGCGGCCGAACACCACATCACTCGGGAGCACCCATCTCCCTGGGAGACATTGTGCTTAGTAAGCCAAGGAGTTCAGAGGAACTTGTCTCAAGCATAGGAGTTGTGCTAATCGTAACAGGCCTCCCTTGTGCGTCGCTATCTACGGTTGTTACCAGTCTACACAGTTCTACTGTCTGCACTGACAAGACACAGGGTATCTGCGCCCCGACGTCCGACCGTGGGATAAGTGCATACCGTGAGATAAGATAAGTTTTAAAATTTGGAAATTTTAAATATAAATTGTATATTTATATACTTATCCTATCTCACGCTACGGATTCCCGCCCATCTTCCCCGCTATGCAGATTCTCCAAGATGGGCAGATGGACAATAGATGCCAAGGGAAAAAAGTTTACATCGTTCCACTCAGTGTGGAATCAAGAGAGAAGTGCATACCATGAGATAGGATAAGTATATAACTATACAATTTATATTTAAAATTTCCAATATTATTGGGGTGGCATGAAACCAACCTTTGTTCAGTTCCACAAAACCAAGTCTTAGCGCTACGATTAATCAAATTTTCTGTTTAAAATATGGGACATAGGGAATAGCCCAGCATGTCATTAACTAGCAGTTGTTAATGGTCCGTGGAGAGCCTATAAATATGCTGCTGTTTCAGGATAGTGATGGTGGTAGGTGCAGGACGAGGTCCGCTGGTCCGGGCAGCCATTGCAGCAGCATCACAGGCCGACAGGAAGATCAAGAAGCTGTATGCCGTGGAGAAAAATCCCAACGCTGTTGTTACGTGAGTAGGCTTTTGTTGACTTGCTTGTTGTTGTTACCAAGTATGGATGTCAACATATCACCTATTGTACCTAGTGTTGTCATGAGTTACTGATTATATGAAAATACAAATACGATTTTCTATCAGAAAATGCACATACAAGCAGAGGAGATGAGATATTAATCCTCTGGTACTTGGTAAATTTCGGGCTACACGAAGTATGTGAGCAAGACTACCAGTTGTCACACTTCCATTTCTTGTGGAAGCTGCCGTGGCAGAGTAGGTTAAGCCATTGACTTTGTGTGCTGGCGATTAGGTGCCTGACTCTGAGAGTATGGGACTTAACCAAACAAAAGTACTACAGTCAGTAAGAGTTCCAATCGTAACCCCCGCTTGAAATGTTAAAGTGTAAATTGGAGTTGTAGTGAAAATATAAATGAAAGGTTAGGGTTAGGGAAGGTTAGTGTTGGTTTGCATCTGAGAGGATACAAACTCAGTAATACTAATGATAAAAAAACGGGGATTACGGGGCAGAAATCTTTCCCTAGAGTCTGTACTTTACTATGTTCCCAAATATAACATAGGTTACATCCTACTAGTGTGTATCTGTGATACAATGGATGAGTCCATCAAACACACCTGCCCATGATATAAAACACATTATGAAGACATTTTACATTATGTAGAAAGTACATCTAGACTATCATTGGCACGCAATACAAGTTGCTGATCCAATTAGCACCTAGACAAAAACACAAACGCACATACAGTAAAATATATCTTGTACACATACACTCGGCACACAGAACACAAATGAAGCCAATTAGCACCTAGACAAAAACACAAACGCACATACAGTAAAATATATCTTGTACACATACACTCGGCACACAGAAACACAAATGAAGCCAATTAGCACCTAGACAAAAACACAAACGCACATACAGTAAAATATATCTTGTACACATACACTCGGCACACAGAACACAAATGCAGCCAATTAGCACCTAGACAAAAACACAAACGCTACATACAGTAAAATATATCTTGTACACATACACTCGGCACACAGAACACAAATGAAGCCAATTAGCACCTAGACAAAAACACAAACGCACATACAGTTAAATATATCTTGTACACATACACTCAGCACACAGCACACAGAACACAAATGAAGCCAATTAGCACCTAGACAAAAACAACACAAATGAAGCCGCACATACAGTAAAATATATCTTGTACACATACACTCGGCACACAGAAACACAAATGAAGCCAATTAGCACCTAGACAAAAACACAAACGCACATACAGTAAAATATATCTTGTACACATACACTCGGCACACAGAAACACAAATGAAGCCAATTAGCACCTAGACAAAAACACAAGCACATACAGTAAAATATATCTTGTACACATACACTCGGCACACAGAAACACAAATGAAGCCAATTAGCACCTAGACAAAAACACAAACGCACATACAGTAAAATATATCTTGTACACATACACTCGGCACACAGAACACAAATGAAGCCAATTAGCACCTAGACAAAAACACAAACGCACATACAGTAAAATATATCTTGTACACATACACTCGGCACACAGAACACAAATGAAGCCAATTAGCACCTAGACAAAAACACAAACGCACATACAGTAAAATATATCTTGTACACATACACTCGGCACACAGAAACACAAATGAAGCCAATTAGCACCTAGACAAAAACACAAACGCACATACAGTAAAATATATCTTGTACACATACACTCGGCACACAGAACACAAATGAAGCCAATTAGCACCTAGACAAAAACACAAACGCACATACAGTAAAATATACAGTCGGCACACTGGAACACAAATAGCCAATTAGCACCTAGACAAAGAGACACAAGCGCACATACACAAACTATATCTTTGTACATACATTCACACACACAACACAAATGAAGCCAATTAGCACCTAGACAAAAACACAAACGCACATACAGTAAAATATATCTTGTACACATACACTCGGCACACAGAAACACAAATGAAGCCAATTAGCACCTAGACAAAAACACAAACGCACATACAGTAAAATATATCTTGTACACATACACTCGGCACACAGAAACACAAATGAGCCGATTAGCACCTAGACAAAAACACAAACGCACATACAGTAAAATATATCTTGTTCACATACATCCTCCTCACACAAACACATTTATATACAAAACTGTCAAATTCTGTCAATGAGATATATGTATTTCCTACAGTCATTTGTATATCACACTCACTGAGAACAACACAATGATAACTTTGACTTCTAAAGTTCAAATTTCACTGATCTTGTCGCTTCCCCTGTGCAGAAAGAAGTGTGAGTAGAAGGAGCAGTGGTGAGAACAAAGGATTAAATTAGGCCACTCACCAATCAGGGAAGACACCTGAGCTTCCCCTTTGATTGACCAAACAAAGATGCCCTGTCTACACTATTTTCCAGTGGACAGACTCCATAGGCAGAACCGTTAAAGCGTTTGCTTCATCAAGTCAAAGGCCCAGGTTTGATTCCCCACATGGGCACATTGTGTGAAGCCCATTTCTGGTGTCCCCCGCTGTGATATTGCTGGAATATTGCTAAAAGCGGCGTCAAAGTAAACTCACTCACTCACTCATAGGCAGAACCAAACAAAAGACTAGAGCTTTACTGATAATGCTAACCTAACAACAACTTAAATATCCTACACAGACTGAAATGAGAAATAATATATAATACATTTATAGAGAGCCTTATATCCACCTCAAAGATGCTCAATGGTGCTAAGAACAATTTATGCGCTGAGCTCAGACATTATTTCCCTGGTTAACCCAAACTGCCTGTGTGGCACCTAGTCATATCCCACTAGGTACCACCCATTCACTGCTGGGTGAACAGAAGCAGTTTTGGACAAATTCACTTGCCTAAGGTGATACCACATGCGTCACATGCATCGTGGGGCAGAACTGAAGTCCTAGAAATTCTTACAAGTCAAGCTTAGAAACACAGTCACCCATCCAAGGACTCTCCGTGACCAACTTAGCGTAACTTCAGCTGATTTGTGACCTGGATAGCCTTGCCCAAAATGATCTTAGCGTTACGATGATCGCAATCCTATGTTAAAGTATGCTCTATGCATAGGACCACACAAAACCACAAGACCAACGTTGTTTATACTGTTTTGTACATGCCTGTGTTGATTAAACATTTTGAGAAAATTATTTTATGGTAAATTTCATTGGACAAAAAGTTTGTTGTCATGTTGATGCTTTACATCTAGGAGCGGTGGGGTAGCCTTGTGGTTAAAACATTGGCTTGTCACGCCCAAGACCCGGGCTCGATTCCCCACATGGGTACAATGTGTAAAGCCCATTTCTGGTGTCCGACAGCGTGATATTGCTGGAATATTGCTAAAAGCTGTGTAAAACCAAACTCACTCACTCACTCACCCTTCCACTCACTCACTCACTCACCCTTCCACTCACTCACTCACTCACCCAGTTAAGGTCCGGGTTAGAATGAGCCTTCAGTAACCCATGCTTGTTGTAAGAGGCCACTAACGGGATCGGGTGGTCAGGCCTGCTGACTTGGTTCCCATGTCGTCGGTTCCCATTTGCGCAGATTGATGCTCATGCTGTTGATCACTGGATTGTCTGGTCCAGACTCGATTATTTACAGACCGCCGCCATATAACTGGAATATTGCTGAGTGCGGCGTAAAACTAAACTCACTCACTCACTCACTCACTCACTCACTCACTCACTCACTCACTCACTCACTCACTCACTCACTCACTCACTCACTCACTCACTCACTCACTCACTCACTCACTCACTCACTCACTCACTCACTCACTCACTCAACATCCAAGTGTTTTTGTTGTTTGTTGTCAGACTGGAGAACCTGAAGGATGAGATGTGGGGGGAACAGGTGGATGTCATCTCGTGTGACATGAGATTCTGGGAGGCCCCAGAGCAGACAGACATCCTCGTTAGCGAACTTCTTGGGTCCTTCGGTGATAATGAGTTGTCCCCAGAATGTCTCGATGGGGCACAGAGATTCCTCAAAGGTGGGTTGTCATGGGAAGGTATGGTAATGTAACTGAATCTGATTTGATGCAACTGCAGTCACAGACAGAGAAGATCATCACTCCCTTTGTGCAATGTAGACACCTGTGTTTGATGTGTACAAATAGTATCTGTGGTTTGAATGTTTTCATGATACACAGGCGGTGTGGTTACAGCGTTGTCTCATCACGAAGAAGATCCAGGTTTGATTCCTTACATAGGTACAATGTGTGAAGCCCATTTCTGGTGTCCTCACCATGATATTGCTGGAATATTGCTAAAAGCATTGTAAAACCTCACTCACTCACTCACTCACTCACTCACTCATGATACACATATACAAATACCATTAATCCACTTGTTTGCAAAGTGTCAATATGTCAGTATTATATGAGGGGCGGTGGGGTAGCCTAATGGTTAAAGCGTTGGCTCGTCACGCCGAAGACCCGGGTTCGAATGCCTACATGAGTACAATGTGTGAAGCCCATTTCTGGTTTCCCCCGCCGTGATGTTACTGGAATATTGCTAAAAGCGGTGTAAAACCAAACTCAGTCAGTCAGTATTATATGACATATTATAGTCCCATTCCACTGCAGAATAAAACTAATGATACCAACTGTCAATTGATCTGAATACATTCTATCATATATTGTTTAACCGACACTTGATCAATAAATTTATTTTACAGACTTTGTAAAATGTGGCAATGCCTTTCACTCACTGAACTGAAAAATACACCCCTTATGCTAAGTCATATTAGGTGTTCAAACTAAATATTTGAAAATTCACACTCATTTTTAATTGCCTGAATCGCAGTTTGTCAATTTATGACACATGACTTGGTAAAGGGAAGATGTTTAACAGGTTGCATTTTTTCTTCTTGGTTTAGGGGGAGGTAGGGTAGCCTAATGGTTAAAGCATCCGCTCGACATGCTGAAGACCCGGGTTCGATTCCCCACATGGGTGCAATGTGTGAAGCCCATTTCCGGTGTCCCCTGCCGTTATATTGCTGGAATATTGCTAAAAGCGGCATAAAAAAATACTCACTCACTCACTCTTCTTGGTTTACATTTTACATTGATACTGGGGGCAGTAGGGTAGCCAAGTGGTTAAAGCGTTCGCTCGTCACGTCGAAGGCCCGGGTTTGATACCCCACGTGGGTGCTACATGTGAAGCCCATTTCTGGTGTCTCTCCCCCCCATGATATTGCTGCAACATTGCTAAAAGCGGCTTAAAACAATACTCACTCACTTTAATTGCCTGAATAGCAGTTTGTCAAGTTAGGAGACATGACATGTTCAAGATGTATAACATGTTGTATTTTTTCTTCTTGGTTTACATGTTACTTTGATACTGTAGTGTGTGGTTGGTACCTAAGGACAAAATGAATCATTGTCTATTGTTGTCCAGATGATGGGATCAGCATTCCTTGCAAGTACACCTCCTACCTGGCGCCCATCCAGTCAGCTAAACTCTACAACGAGGTTCGACAGTGTAAGGAAAAGGACAAGGGGCCAGAGGTTCGTTACTCAGTCTTGAAACTATATCATTTCAATATTCAGTCAAACACTGTTGAAGTTGATTAGACCTACATAATGCTTAGAATTATCCAAGGTTTGACACAAACGCAGAGGGCTGTGGGGTTGCCTCGTGGTTAAGGCGTTGGTCACGCTGAAGACACGGAATAGTTTCCCCACATGGCTACTATGTGTGAAGCCCATTTCTGGTTCATCAGTGTAAAACCATACTCACTCACAAACACAGGATGACTAAACAAGGAATATGCATTGATTAAACTTTTTATTTTAGACAACCGTAAACACGACACATGAAAGTTGAAAACAACTGCTATTTGCTGTAAAGTGACATAGGGCTAAGGGTGTCACTAGTTTGCTATTCTAAAGTATGAACAGCCATAGTGCTACAATAGCTTTGTGAATAGGGACCCTAATGAGTTGCTGATGTGACAGAACACAGAATGTGTGTATACTGTTTGTGTAGTTGGGTAATGTTTACTGTAATAGGGGCGGTGGGGTAGCCTAATGGTTAAAGTGTTGGCTCGTCACGGCGAAGACCCGGGTTCGAATCCCCACATGGGTACAATGTGTGAAGCCCATTTCTGGTGTCCCCCCGCCTTGATATTGCTGGAATATTGCTAAAAGCGGCGTGAAAAAGCAAACTCATTCAGTCTGCCAGTTTACTGTAACATGTCCATCTGCAGGCCCCGTTTGAGATGCCGTACGTCGTCCGCCTTCACAACTGTCAGCTCCTGTCTGAACCACAAAAGGTGTTCACTTTTGTCCACCCAAACAAAGGTATATGTTTTATGTGTCAAATGCCTTTTGGAAAAGTTTGCTGTTTAAATCCGTGAAAATCCTGGTTAGAATTGGTCTTCAGCAACCCATGGTTGTCATGAAGGGCGACTAACAGGATCGGATGGTCAGACTTGCTGACTTGGTTGACACACGTCATCATATGCCAATTGCCTAGATCGATGTTCATGATGTTGATCACTGGATTGTCTGGTCCAGACTCAACTATTTATAGACCGCCATCATATTGCTGATTGTGGCATTAAACAAAAAAACAAACAAAACAAAAATAGTGATGTATGTCATTTGTTAGTCAGGTACTGAAACAGACGTGTTACTCACACTATCAAATACTGTAAACGTACTTATTTTCGCGTGGTGCAATTTTCGCGGAATTGACAGTTTAGACTACATCGCGCGGTCAATTATTCGCGCAATCAGTAATTGCCGGAACTGCCAGCTGTCTCTTTGACCGCCACTAATAGCAGTGAAAACAAACAGAGTGGCTTAACCTGTCAGGCGGCGTTTATTGCTTACTCACAGGAAATCCCTATCTGTGCGATATATGCTAGTACACAGTAATCCGTTTACTCACGGAAGAGAGGAAAAACACATCAGTCTTATGTTCCGAATTCTGACGATCTGACGAATTAACTTCTGCTGTATATGAAGCTCCTTGTGATTTCAAACAAGCCGGGTTGTTGTGAATGAGATGAGTGTTAAGTGACTATTCGCTTCATGATGTACTGGTAAATAAAATCTTAATGAATAAATAAAATACTGCTGTATTATTTCTTTCGAGTCGTTTCATGGTAATCTGTTTTGTATCAAACCATCTGTCATGTGACCAATTTCCATGGCTGACCACAGCACACATTGCTGTTTAAGCTAATTCGGTGATGGGATTTGGCTCATTATTTAATTATGTTTTGGGAAATCCATTACAGCGACAGTTAAGTATGATTCTTTATGCTACTATCAGTCGTCATTTTAAGATTCCCGTAGATTTCTGTCTTCAAACTTGATGTGTTATGGTAACAACTCAGGGGCGAGCGTGGCTAGACTGAATGAATGACAGGTTTATTCGCGGTGTATAAATTTTCGTGCTAAAATGTTTTGCGCGAAAAGCCCGAAAATAAAACCTGCACGAAATATAATACGTTTACAGTATATCAAACGGTGGCTTCTCATTCAATAGTAATGGGGGCAGTGGGGTAGCCTAGTGGTTAAAGCGTTGGCTCGTCATGCCGAAGACCCAGGTTCGAATCCCCACTGGGGTACATTGTGTGAAGCCCATTTCTGGTGTCCCCCGCTGTGATGTTGCTGGAATATTGCTAAAAGCGGCATAAAACTAAACTCAGTCAGTCAGTCAGTCAATAGTAATGATTAAAACTTCACGTTATTCAATCATATGCTATTCACACTTTGCTAAGGATCAAATCATAGATTCAACAGAAAACTATGATGTGGGGTCAGATTTGGTTTAAATGTCTAAGCTTATTGAAAACATGGATCCTGGGTTTCAGTATGTCATTTCATCTTGTGGAACCCATACCTGCTATTGACAGGTGTTGTGTACTTGCCAATGACTCGTTCCATGGTTTGCAAAATGGTTGATTGGTGCCATGAAAACCATCCTATCCCAATGATTCATGTATCAAGTGCATAAGGTTAGATTAAAGTGACTGTTTCCTTAAAGTGGGGTGACCATATTATTATCTATCCAGTTTCAAATGGACACAATTTCAAATTATACATCTACGTTTAAGTATGTTGTGAATTTTTGTGATCCTTGGCAAAGTGTGAGTAGTATAGATAAATGATTGATAGTAATTCATGCCAATTCTTTCTTTCAGATGAAGTAATAGACAACTCTAGGTACAAAAGTTTAGATTTCACTATTTCCAACGACTGTGTCCTACATGGGTTTGCTGGCTACTTCGACTGCGTCCTGTTTGCACATGTTACGTTAAGTAAGTAGATATATTTTTGGTTTAATATTGGTAGGGTCACAAATGTGTGTAAAATTATGTTCCCTTAGCTTTGTTATGGAGACCAAAGATGGTTGCCAGAGGATACCACATGGGAGCAAGGGCAGTCCGTTGACTGGGTATTATCATACTCCGATGATGTGGATCCTTGTAATTACTACCAATAACTTGATTGTCTAGCCAGAGTATTTACAGGCTGCCTTCATATATCCGAGTGCAGCCTTAAACAACAAACACACATACATTTGCTCACTTGGATGGTCAGACTCGATGATGGTTGATTGTGTTCCATCTTATCCCAGTGGCTTAGAATGTTCATCACAATTGCTGGTTTCTGGTTGTCTGACCAAAACTCAGTATTTTATAGGACTGTTTGATGTTGGTGGAATATGGCTAAAGATAGCATTAAATAACATGGTTTTGTCCCATCCAATCCCAATGGCTTGGGACGTTCACCATGATTGGTGATTGCTAGTTTCTCTGGCCCAGACCTAATATTATACTGTCGTTGGGACATTGATGAACAAGGGGTTGAACTACCAAACAATTCCGTGTCTGCATCAGGAGAGTTCTGGTTCTGCTGTGTCTGTGTGGTTCCCCTATGTACAAGTGCTCTTGTGTTGTGGCTATGTTGTTCCCCTGTGTACAAGTGCTCTTGTGTTGTGGCTATATTGTTCCCCTGTGTACAAGTGTTCTTGTGTTGTAGGTATATTGTTCCCCTGTGTACAAGTGTTCTTGTGTTGTAGGTATATTGTTCCCCTGTGTACAAGTGCTCTTTTGTTGTGGCTATATTGTTCCCCTGTGTACAAGTGCTCTTGTGTTGTGGCTATATTGTTCCCCTGTGTACAAGTGCTCTTGTGTTGTAGGTATATTGTTCACCTGTGTACAAGTGTTCTTGTGTTGTTGCTATATTGTTCACCTGTGTACAAGTGTTCTTGTGTTGTAGGTATATTGTTCCCCTGTGTACAAGTGTTCTTGTGTTCTGGCTATATTGTTCCCCTGTGTACAAGTGTTCTTGTGTTGTGGCTATATTGTTCCCCTGTGTACAAGTGCTCTTGTGTTGTGGCTATATTGTTCCCCTGTGTACAAGTGTTCTTGTGTTGTGGCTATATTGTTCCCCTGTGTACAAGTGTTCTTGTGTTGTGGCTATATTGTTCCCCTGTGTACAAGTGTTCTTGTGTTGTGGCTATATTGTTCCCCTGTGTACAAGTGTTCTTGTGTTGTGGCTATATTGTTCCCCTGTGTACAAGTGTTCTTGTGTTGTGGCTATATTGTTCCCCTGTGTACAAGTGTTCTTGTGTTGTGGCTATATATTGTTCCCCTGTGTACAAGTGCTCTTGTGTTGTGGCTATATTGTTCCCCTGTGTACAAGTGTTCTTGTGTTGTGGCTATATTGTTCCCCTGTGTACAAGTGCTCTTGTGTTGTGGCTATATTGTTCCCCTGTGTACAAGTGTTCTTGTGTTGTTGTGGCTATATATTGTTCCCCTGTGTACAAGTGTTCTTGTGTTGTGGCTATATTGTTCCCCTGTGTACAAGTGTTCTTGTGTTGTGGCTATATTGTTCCCCTGTGTACAAGTGTTCTGTGTGTTGTGGCTATATTGTTCCCCTGTGTACAAGTGTTCTTGTGTTGTAGGTATATTGTTCCCCTGTGTACAAGTGTCTCTATATTTGTGTTGTGGCTATATTGTTCCCCTGTGTACAAGTGTTCTTGTGTTGTGGCTATATTGTTCCCCTGTGTACAAGTGTTCTTGTGTTGTGGCTATATTGTTCCCCTGTGTACAAGTGTTCTTGTGTTGTGGTATATTGTTCCCTGTGTACAAGTGTTCCCTGTGTGTGCTCTTGTGTTGTGGCTATATTGTTCCCCTGTGTACAAGTGTTCTTGTGTTGTGGCTATATTGTTCCCCTGTGTACAAGTGTTCTTGTGTTGTGGCTATATTGTTCCCCTGTGTACAAGTGTTCTTGTGTTGTGGGTATATTGTTCCCCTGTGTACAAGTGTTCTTGTGTTGTGGCTATATTGTTCCCCTGTGTACAAGTGCTCTTGTGTTGTGGCTATATTGTTCCCCTGTGTACAAGTGCTCATGTGTTGTGGCTATATTGTTCCCCTGTGTACAAGTGTTCTTGTGTTGTGGCTATATTGTTCCCCTGTGTACAAGTGTTCTTGTGTTGTGGCTATATGGTTCCCCTGTGTACAAGTGCTCATGTGTTGTGGCTATATTGTTCCCCTGTGTACAAGTGCTCTTGTGTTGCAGGTATAGTGCCTGCCACTCACTCCCCAGGCATGTTCAGCTGGTTCCCTATACTCTTCCCCATCAAGGTAGGTCTTCACCCAAATGTCTCTCACAATGTGAATGATGGCAAGTTAACCTGAATTTAGAAATCGCAATTCATCTTTTTCAGATTATTGGATATTCAGGGTTCATATCAGCCTTTGAAATCTATGCTTGTTAGCTAGAGTAGTAAAATGTGCTTAGGACAAGTAAAAATCCAGTTTTTGGTCATCCTTATTGAGTAACACTTAGGGCTAAAATACTGAACCCATTCTCGATGCATCAAGTTATGTAACAAACAGGAACTTAATTAAACTGACAGAAAGTGTAAAAAGTGAATTGGTTTATGTTGTTCACTTAGGGCTACCAAACGACATTGTGGACTTGTCTTAAAAAGACAAATTTCTTTGGCTGCATGTACAATTAAAATGTTTAAGTGGGAGGTAATTTGACTTAAATAGCCCACTGTAAAACTGTCGAATGTTAGTAACAGGTGTAAAATCTTACTTGAACACATAAGAAAGAAGTTACGTTAATACAATATTTATTCTCCTCCAATGCCTGTTTCAGCGTCCTCTCCTGCTAAAAGGGGAGAGCCAGGTTGTCCTTGACATTTGGCGATTGTGCACAGACAAGAATGTGTGGTACGAGTGGGCCGTGCAGGATCCTATAGCCCTCTCCATACACAACCCCAAGGGACGCTCCTACACCATAGGGCTCTAGAAGACTGCAGACAAGGCAGATACACAAACCCAAGGAGTGCTCTCATACTTTAGGACTCTAGAAGACTAGATCTGTGGCATATACACGACATCCATCTTCTATATCACAAGGGCTAGAATTTACACCAAATCAACACCAACCCAGGATCCATTCCTGTGGTTCTTGCAATCACAAATTACCAACCAATGGAATGTTGACACAGGGAAAGGGAGGTAACTTGTATTACTTAGAAATCAAAGCCACAGCCAGTTTGCGGATGGTTTGGCAAATGGAAATCAAGGGCGGATAATTTGAGATTGAAAAACCACAGGAATGGCTGTATTGGTTAATGCAGGTTTACTGAAAAGCAAGCCCTGTAGATATATAGAAGTTGACACAACTTCTTGAGGTGTTCTAGAACTATTGAACACCTTGAGCTGGTGCTGTGGCAGACAATGTTGTAAAACACCCTGTTCCCTCTGAGAATCCTAACTAGTACTGTTACATTGTTTGTTTTAGGGGTTGGGGGTAAGTGTCTGCACCTGAAAGTCTTTCTTGTTTTCAATTAACTTCAAGAACAGGTAATATTGGGCATAATTTTCAAAAGTTAAGGCTTCAAAATGTTTCCACTTTATTGCATTGGTTATATGTAATCATCTTTGCAAGCATGCATTTCTGCTTTTGATGAAAAAGAATTCTGACAGATGGATCGCGTACTTCAAAGATTTGACACAAGTATGTTGAGATGATATGAAAATTCACTGTGGATTTGGACTCTAGAATAGTGACAAGTAATGGAGACATTGTGTCCAGGTATGACATGGTGAATTAGGATTCCAATTCACCGTAACGTCAGAGCATTATTGCATGCCTTCATGCCAGCGCTACCACATTCGAGTTTTTTTTTTTTCAGTCATTTTGCTGAAAATAACTTCCCAAATTTCACTTTACATTTCATATTACGTCAATATAAGCTGCTTTCCAACCTGATTTGTTAAAAGCCTTTGTCCGAGACAAATTTCTATAACTTTTAGCCTTTTTGGCACAATTTAAATGTTTTGAAAAAAACATATATGCTACAATCTTTCATTCTGAAGTAGACATATTTTGCATTTGATAATGATGAAGGTTTAACATGACATCCGTAAGATTGACTTGCAAAAACCACTTTGTTTGTTCAGGTTGAACATATATGTTGACGGTGCCTTGTTTCCACTGTCGAAACATGTTCAGATATACCGGTATGTTCTTTGTTTGTAAAACGCATTTCATGTGTTACATCTGCTATCAGACATGCATTTAACATCAAATTAGTTTCATTATTGATTTCATTAAAGAATGAAGTTTTGAATACGTTTGAATTGAGGGTTTCATGCAGTTTCAGATTATGAATATTGCTTATGATCTGTAATAATATATCATTGTGATGATAATTTCAACAGAAACCCCATTTCAAGAACATTTATGTCTGCTTAGGTTTTATGTACAAAGCATGAAAAACAATATATTACAAAGTTTATTTTGTTTATGTTCACATATTTCCTAACAGTAAAATGTTTTCAGGAAATTTGACCTTTGTTTCAGTTATAGGTTTGTTTCAATCCATTTTACAAAATTTAAGAATCTAAGTTTTGTCCCAGTAATGAACCTGTCAGTGAATTTCACTGGAATTGTAACCGTCTTCATAATAGGGTTTCCTCTAACATAAAGATAAAACCATGATAAATTTGAATCAAAATGGATCTGGACTGTCTGAATTGAAATTGTGTCTTATGATTGAAAATAATCTCTCATTTATACTTAGCAACAGGTTTAAACATCTCATTTTTTCATAATAGAATCAAGTTAAATTATGTCATCTCCCATACCTCATGCATTTGTTTTCAGTTGTAACTATAGGATCAAATCTTTGAAGGGCATTTAGACATGGAATGCATAAGAAAAGAAAGATTTATAGATGTCAACGTCTTTATTGTGGATAACACGACATTTCGGAGTGTATGCTTGCTCCTTCATCAGGTGAATGGTTCCTTCATCATTCACCTGATGAAGGAGCAAGCATTCACTCCAAAATGTCGTGTTATCCATAATAAAGAAGTTGACATCCATAAATCTATCTTTTCTTGTAACTATAGGGCCCGTAAGTCTCACCTGGCGCTACTCTCGTTACTAAGCTGGTTCCCTATGCGCGTGCCAACTTGCGATATGCGAGACGGGGCCCAGCTTACTCCCGGTACCAGATTTCCAGTGACAAGCGTATATTCAAGAACCAGTTCTGGTTCTAAATTGCACGACCACTGAATAGGATTTTCCTAGACCGGATCTAGTGTAAGTTGTTTGTCACCAGAAGTACTAAGGTCTCGCGAAGTGCCGTGACCTACTTATGGGCCCTACACAGTTTCCAGCTCTGTGCTCTGCTGGGTGGTAACATAGGGTTTGCCATGCAATGCAACCACCGTGACCTCATTGCCGTGTCAAATACTTCACTTGTATTACTGCCATTTCTTTAAACAGTGTATCTTTATGTAGATTGTATTCAGTTTAACACAGCCATGTGAACTTTGAAGAATAAAGTTCAGGTATTTAAGTTGGGTGGGATAAACATTTTGTTGTTTGTATTTTAAAAGAAGAAACCCTTGGTATGGTGAAGAGTAGGAGATGATGTTGAAGATACATTTATATATTGATAATAGTGATAATATACTACTCCTAGATTGGGGGCGGTGGGGTAGCCTAGTGGTTACAGCATTCGCTCGTCATGCCGAAGACCCGGGTTTGATTCCTCACATGGGTACAATGTGTGAAGCCCATTTCTGGTGTCCCCTGCCATTATATTGCTGGAATATTGCTAAAAGTGGCGTTAACCCATACTCAATCAATTACTACTCCTAGATTGATAGTGATATTTTTTATCTTTTCATGGATGCTTATTGTTACAAGTGCATATTTAAATAGGATATCTGCAAGTCGAGTAATAAACACTCATGCATGCATGCAAACACACAATAGCTGCTGCAGCTCAGATTTTAAATTTGAGCATGAGAAATATAATTATGGATACTTGTAGTGCACTGATGAACACATATTCATAACACTACATTAACAAAGTCCAGTGAAGATTGACCAGAGAATTGGTCTTCAGCAACCCATGTGTGTCATAAGAGACGAAGGATCATTTTGTCCGGCTTGCTGACTGGGTTGATACATGTCATTGTGTCCGTATTGTCTAGATCGAGGGTCTTGATGTCAATCACTGGATTTTCTGATCCAGACTCGATTGTTTACACATCACAGTCATATAGTTAGAACAAACAATCAACAAGACATAAAATAACAGAAAATCAACAATGGTGAAGACACACTTGGAAACATGGACATAGTCCAAAAAGATGTTTCTTCTGAACTACATGTACTTTGAAATAGGCTACATCTTGATGGAACAGGGGAGACCAGTCCTAAAAGTTGCTGCTGACACATGTTCAGAGGAATTGAGCTTTTGGTACTGTGGGGCAGTAGGTTAGCCTATTTGTTAAGGTCTTCACGCGTCACGCCGAGGACCCTGGTTCAATTTCCCATTTGGGTATGTGTAATGACCATTTCTGATGTAGCCTGCCATGATAAAGTTGGAATATTGCCGTAAGTGGCACAAAACCCTATTCACTCACTCACTTTAACAGTTGCTAACTAGTTCATTCCACAACAGAAACCTAATGCTTCCATGTCAATGATAAAAATTGGGAGGATAGAACATCCTGGCACTAGGACAACTTTGTCACACAGGGTCCTTGCCAAAAATGTTCCATAATACACATTCACTTGTGAGTTAGGTTTAAAGGAGGTATATTTTATATGATATTATCTGAGGGCATAGCATTATCCAAGAGGTACTAAATGACAGATCGGTTTTGTTATTTTCTGCAATTTAAAAAAAATAATTATACCCAATGTGTCGTGATGACCAATATCTTGTTAACCACATTACCCACGTATGAGACATTTTGGAGATGGCTTTGCTAATGATTCCTTCAAAATAAAATGGAAGCTTTACACACATTGGACATCAAGAATATAGTTAGGCCGACTATTTTTTGACCGACCCTCGTACCACATTCACACTTTAGACAATCCATGTGCACCACATTCATTCGTTTGACAATAATATATATGTACCACATTTACACCTCATACAATCCATCTGCACTGCATTCTATAGATAATACATTTGTACCACATTCACAAAATACACAATGAATCTACCACATTCACAGACTAGACACTCAATCTGTACCACATTCACAGTACAGACGGTCCATCTTCACCCGAAACTACACTGTATCATAAACTCTTCCATCAATCAATACCATCTTGATTCTAGGTGTATTCCTTACAAAATCAGCTTCGTGGTGAGGTTGCTGAGGACCAATTCTAACCCAGATCTTCACGGGTTCACAGTGGTAAGACAGTCACATCTGCTATTTCCTTTGTTGACAATGCATTCATCTACATAACAATGGACTTACTGTTATCAGCATTCAAGTTACATTATGGCATGTCAACTTAACATGAATGAAACCGTGAAGATCCGGGTTAGAATTGATCTTCAGTAAGAGGCTACAACGGGATCAGGTGGTCAGGCTCACTGAATGGGTTGACACATGCCATCGTATCCCAGTTGCATAGATTGATGTTCATGCTGTTGATCCCTGGATTGTCTGGTCCAGATCCAATTATTTACAGAACGCCACCATATAGCTGGAATATTGCCGAGTGCGGCGTAAAGCTAAACTCACTCAACATGAATGGCAAGCCCAAAGTGAAGCAGGTGCTGGGCGTTCATCACTTTCATGAAACCATTAAGCATGGATACAATGCTGACAAGCCTCGAAGCATAATTAGGACTGTGAAAAATAGTATATGAGTGAGTATGGTTTTGCGCTGCTTTTAGCAATATCACGGCAGGGGACACCAGAAATGGGCTTCACACATTGTATCAATGTGTGGAATGTAAAAAATGACAAACTCAAATGTGGCATAAATCCTTTTAATGTATAGCTACTACTAAATATATATTCAGTTTTGCATTTTCAACATCAACAATATTGCACATGGGACATGTACCATTTGACATTAAACAGGAATATCCATTATTCAACAGGTGTAAGAGGGCATTCTCAATTGCGGACTAAACAATAGATTAACTATATATATCACAATTTATGCAATAAAGAACATAAAAATATGATCTTATTCTATGACTATCACAGAGGAATGCTTATACTCCTGTCAAGGAAGCATATGAAGAAAGATTTATTGTTCGTTACATATTTGAGATAAATTTAAATCTTACAGGTCAGATAAAAGTTGATCGACTCAAAATTAATCAAAATGTCCTAAAAAATATTATCATATATTTTATGAAAGACAGATTAACATCTAAACAATATGTTTAAAAATATGTGACAAAGTTTGGTTCAGTAATTGGTACCACTATTGTCTGTCGTTGAATGTATGAATTCGTAACCCTTCATCATCAACATTGTTGTGTCTCAAAATTATACAATTTCGCTAATCTTGACTCTATATTCTTTTTTTGTAAATTATTTGTGTAAATTCTTTGCCAAAAAGTTCCAGAATTAATTCTATTTTGCCAGATAATCAATCTAAATAAGTGCTTCTATGGCTCCCACCTCGGTAGATCTGTGTTGTCAGAATTATACAGTATTTGGAATCGGTCCACTATAGATTTAAAGGGTCTGCCCAGTTCCAGACAGGAGAAAAACCTTCAAAACACAGAGGCATAGACACATAGCTGCCAAAAACTTACAAGCATGGACAGGAAAGGTTGTGTTTGAACAGGATCATTATGACACCTTCACAGAAGACAGTTACACAAGTTGTTTATCCGTCCTTATCAGTATCTGAATGAATCCATTAAAATCAAGCATCCTCATCCTTTGGAATGAGTCAAGTGCAGTGTAAGGTCGTGTCAAAGGCCTCCAGATATCTCTCTTTTATCATGACAAACAGGTGGTCTGTACATCAGTGCCAAAGACATTTTTGGTCATGATCTAAAAAAACCCACCAATATTCTTCATGTTTAGAAAGTCTGTATACGAGCGAGTCTTAAGTGATTGAGAACTGGAGTACATCCAGAGATAATGATTTGTCATCAACGATAAATAAACACCCCAGTCACTGCATGATGTGGAGTTTTCTTTCTGTATATAAACGCCAAACTGCTTTACATTCTATCTGTTCAGTGAGCGACTTCTACATCACTGGTATGAACAGCCATGCAATAACAATCTGCAGTATGGGATTTATCCAAGTCTGGTAATGTCACAGTACAAGTTCCAACACTGGAATAAAACAATTCCTCATTCATATTACAGTTAAATTCACCGATTTTGTAGGTGACTAGTATGTCACTGGTGATAAGACCAATAAAGAGAATCTAAGAACATTTATACTCTGTTACATTTGCAGAGTGAGTGAGTTCAGTTTTACGCCGCTTTTAGCAATATTCCAGCAATATCATGGCTGGGGACACCAGAAAGGTGCTTCACACATTGTACCCATGTGGGGAATCGAACCCGGGTCTTCGGCGTGACAAGCAAACACTTAAACCACTAGGCTACCCCACATTTACATTAATCACGTTGAAATGCAATGTTGAAAATTTTGTTTTAATAAAATTTGACCCTTGAAAATAACAATATTGAAAAGAAATAATGGTTTTATTCTTCTTGGATTGCATTTAGTTTTGATTACTTGATAAAACCCCTACTGCAGACTCACTTACAGACTCAGTTTGGGTACTTAAGACCCAGAATGGCATTTTAGCATGGAATAAACTAGTTTTATTTTCAAGATTGGATCCAGTCTAGCAGTCACATATTATCTGTAAAGAATAAAAGAACTACCTATACCTATATGAATCTATTTTCATGCAGAATATGTAATGGAGGAGAAACTGTAAGACATAATGAGGGGTTGAACAAACACCCAAAGGGATCTTAAACTACAAGAAATAGTCAATATTCAAAGAAACACCAAAGAACCATCCCTTTTCACACAACCACAAAACAAGTCATCATGTCAACAAACTCAAGTGAACATCCCATATATCTCTTTAATCCTCATAAGTGAAGCTATTTATCACATCTCGACAACAAATACCACAAAAATACTATATCTGAACTACAGAACTATTGAGAAAATGATATACATGTGTATCTCTCTAGATCACATTCAAGTGAAACAATTATCACATGTGTACATCCATAGTCTGATGCTTTCATTCAAATCATTTGATTTTATGTCATAATATCAATTATTTGCTCGTTTGCAGATGGGTCCTTAAACATGATTAATTAATCCACCTTTTCCAATGAACGTTTGATAATTAAAGAATAAAAAATATATAGAAAAATATGAAAGCAAAATAAATGTTCTAGAACTTCATTTGATTTTTATCACATAATAATTTGAAATCTTTTGGCAGTACATTCATCATTTGCCATTTTATGTCATTGTAAACATATAGAAACAAGTGCATTTGAAATATATTAAATCTTTAGCACCTTCACAGAATAAATGGAACACAATATTTCGGTCTGATCTAAAAATAAATTATCATTGGTCCCAAACGAACATTGAAGCAAGTATAATTTTGGAAAAATTATGCACTGTACCTGAGTTTTTCTCAATAAATGTATTCAACCTGACAACCATCCTTCTACAAATATGGTAAGACTTCTACTGTACATACATACAGCCATATCAAACTGTCGGAAATGGATAAAATGTGAGACTGGACATATTCGTATTACTTTATTAAAATACCTTGGTTATTTATTGGGTCAAATATGGTATTAACACTTCAAACCATTTCTGTCAGTTCGTAAACTATGAACACTTGCAAATACAACACATTCACAACAAGTTAACGTTTGTAAATATGGGATTTTGATTACCGACAAACACAGAAGTGCAACATCTTCATAGATCCTCATCTCCTAAATGTGATTTTACACAGAAAATAGGCAACATTTGGATCACAGCTTCTGATTTCAACAGCAATGCCCTCTAAATCCTGTTCAAGTTTTGACAATGTCTGACTTCATTAGTTACCGTAGAACACAACCAATTTGTGAGCAAACCGACATGTTTCAACAAAGGTGATATGACCCACTGATATTGTACAAGGACGCCGTTGTCATACACAGAACAAGATATATATATAGACACAGAACAGTCACAATAACAAACTCATTTACATAGTTGACAAGCAGCCAAAGCTCATGTATGGGTAAGCTATATAAAGCATATAAAATAATATAAACATGGAAATTATATAAATAACGACACATCTCCGAGACTTATATATTATACTCAAGAAATCAGAAAAATGATCTTTTTGATATAAGCTTGTAGGACAGCAGCATAAAAAATAACATAATGTGACAAAAATATAAATTTGAATTTAAAACAGCTTGTGGTTGAGTGTATAAGCATTCACATCTATGGATAGTCGTTGACATCTAAATTAAATATTTGTGATTGTTCAGTTAGTAGGTGGTTGTTCTCTAATGAATGGTAAATAACTACATATTTGAGGTTTCTTCCAATATCAAATAGCATCATCACTGATATGTAAGGGTCTAAACAACATAAATACACTGTATATGTTTCAATAGTTTCCTGTACTTCCATATACTGACATAATGTTCCATAGATGGCACAATGCCTCTCAAGTTAGAAATATTTAAAATTTCATGTAAAATAATGTTAAAATATTTTCAAATCATTCCAAGGCCAGACCAATTTTATTTCTTGTTTTATGGATTTTTGTCCTCAGAAAACCTAAAGGCAAGAGGGTAAAAAAATAAAAATAAAATCACCAGTCAAAGTTATATTCCTTCTAAATACTCAAAGTATTTTACTTTTGGCAATTTATGAAGTGTATATGGGACAAAAAACAATCTAAAAAAATTTTCTTGTAAGTGTACAATTTTGGCCAATAAAAACATTATGATTTTATTATTTGAGCAGGGAAAATTACTTTTTATTTATCTTATTCTTGAAAAAATATGACAGGTGGATCCGTAAAACAAGAAATAAAATTGGTCTGGCCCAAATTATTTTAAAAATTCCTTAAAAATTAATTTCTTCCTACAGTTATAGATTTTGATAATATGAATACTTAGAATTCAGTAACTTAACACAAGTGTCAGAATCAAAATACTTACAGAACCATATATGTTCTTAATAATTCCACTATTAATTTGCCATGAGATAATTTCAGTGTTAAATACCATAAGAGCACCCATATTTGTCCAAAGATCCAAAATAGATTCTGACCAATGGTCAAGTAGGTCATTTACACAGAAATACTGGTATCGCAGACAGAGCTGATGAAATGTAATCCTCCACATACAATTGCACTCACTTTGCAAATTGCATAACAAGATTTTTCATGCTTCAAAAAAAAGAAAGAAAACCTACTCTAGTGCAAGTCCTTGATATCTTTCAGCAAACTGCTTCTCTGACACACTAGTTCAACATGATTCAAAAACTTGGAAAGATAAAATATTGAAATCCGTCTACAGTGATGGCCCTGTATTCACAAAAGCAATTAAATAGCAATGAACGATATAACATATGCATTTCATTAATGGTATGTAGTTTCGTTCTCATATTCAAAGACTTATCTACCAAAATTGTTCAAATTTTGCTGAATTTTTAACACATTGATAAATCAATATTTCTCAAAAGTGTAACCATGGTAACTAGATTACAAACAAACCACAGCGTTGTGCTCATATTCAAGAATTGGAGAATATTTTCCTGAAATCTTAAAGACAACATTGTTGAATTAAAATTTCTCAAAAGTGTAACCATGGTAACCAGATTACAAATAAATCAGTTTTTTCCTCATATTCAAAAAATGATTCTTCCAAATATTGTGCTGAAATTTCTAAGACAACATTGATGATTAAAATTTCTCAAAACTGTAACCATGGTAACCAGATCACAAATGAATCGCAAAATGTCCACAACTGCTGAAGTTCCATTGTATATGATAAAATGTTATCAATATAAGTTTAACATTGAATCATGTATTCTTCTGTAAATACAGGCCAGGACTTTAAACACAGCAGTAGCACCTGTTGGCATTGATGTATCTAGAAGCAGGGTCAATATAGGTGGTTTATGTGAGGTCAGTAATGTTGTACATTCTAAAAATGGACCAAGGACGGGTCATCTTGCTCGGAAAACATGTAACACAGGTCTTTCACTGAAATGTTTGCATTTTCTTGAAATAAATATTCAGTCAGTATAGGATTCTTTAAAAATATCTCTTATCTATAATCCATTAAAATGATCAAGATGGGTGGTTGGCCTCATGAAGGGAGGTTTTCAAGTAATAGTTATAGTGGTATAAACATGCTTTAGGTAGCGCCAGAAAACAACAACTGTTTCCCAAATCATCAAAGGGGTTTGATACTACAAAGAAGAAAAAAGAAATATGCACACACCAGTATACATGTGTTTTACATTCAAAATCAATAATTTCACGGATTATATATGGTTTTAACTGTGTGGCTACGGACAATAAGTATAACAGAAATATATAAAGGGTTAAGACCATCACAGGGTGAATGTAACATGCTAAAGTTATGCCTAGAATTTCTAGATTTTGAATACATCGACATTTGATATCAGCAAATACTGAGTCATTTAAATCATATGATTTATATTTCTGTATTGAGCAACTTTATTAGAAAGACATTAAATAGCATTCCGCAAAGTTTATAATTACCGTACTTTGTCTCAGGTCACCTGTAACTCTGTTAGCTCTCAGGGGAAGTTCTCCTGCTTCCATGTTTGCAATAATTTATACCAAAGGCTGCAGCTAATTTATAATGCAAGCAAGTTCAAATTAAGATGACAGGCTGGGGTTAATTTCTACCATGTGATGCATAATTTAAACATCCAAATAGTAAAGTTTAAAATCAATAATTTACTTTATCATTTCATTAGAATTTGAGATGAAAATCTTTTAAACTTTAGCATAAAACATTGTATGATCTAATCATTTTTAATAAAACATGGTCCATTAAACATTAAATAAATAAACTGAAGCTTGCACTATTTGAGTGTTTTACAGAATGAAACAGTATGCTCTTCTAAGATTGTTGCTAGGTAATAGTCACTGACGAGCCAAAGGAGACAGAAAGTAGTATGAACGGTATATCACAAGTCATTCCATCTGTCAGCATTGTGAAAGGACCTTGATACCAGACACTTGTTTGGGTTGATGACAAAGTGTGGAGCTGCTTAGCTGTACACGGCGTTCCTACGTAGCTACAAATGCATCCTGCTTGAACAAGGGAGGCTCTGGGAGATGGGGCTGACATCTACGTAGGGGAAGGACATTGATCTGCAACATAAACACAGCAATCAGTCCCCCTTATATAAACACAAAGGCTGGTTTTGTCATGACAAAATGCAGAAAAATTCCAAAGATGATGCTGCCTGTGACAAAAGCAGTATCACAGTTGAAACAATTTTCTTAGTCTGTCTCACGGTGGGGTTAAAGCATTCGCTCGTCACGCTGAAGACCCAGGTTCGATTTCCCACATGAGTACAATGTGTGAAGCCCATTTCTGGTGTCCCCCGCCGTGATATTGCTGGAATGTTGCTAAAAGTGGCATAAAACTAAACTCACTCACTCACTAGTCTGTCTCACAGTCATTGAACAGTAATACTTTCCCAACTGCCCCGCCCTTTCTGTGATGATGCAGCCTTAAATGAAGTAAATCTAGATTTTTCCAAAGGTTCTGAATCACCAACCTCAATGGCTTCTTTTCGATGTAAATGGTAGGGATATTATGATTCACCAATGCACCGGTGCATCACCGGCAAGCTTTGCATGATACACAATTCATTTGTTTTATTATCGATTCAGATTTTGACGTATATAGATCATTATCTTGATGTTGCACCAATGTCTTATTAAAAAGAACATTACTTTTTATAACCAATTTGGCCCTATGACGACTACGAGACCGCCCTATTTTGGCCTAAGATAATAAAATCTTTCGCCAAATATGATTGGAAAAGGCAAGACCATGGTAGCGGCCATAACCAATCAGAAACATCGAAAAGCATGTCGACGCCTTGATACCAAAAGAAGCATCATGGATTTTGCTGAAGGCGAGTTTTAGAAACTGCCTGGGAAATTTAAGTCTCCTGTTTGGAAATATGTTTAGTTTCCAGTATACTATGAAGCTGGGGTCCGCAAAGTTTGCAGTCAAATAAATATGTGTGATATGTAAAGCCCATATTTCGTATATCGGAAATACATGAACACACATTTGAAACATCATCACTCCTCCGCAACGCTCAAGTGGAAGCAAAGCAACAACTCGACCCCAGTCATAATGAAAGCCTGTAAGAGCTCTGTATCAGGACAGAGTGCTTTGAGTGCATTTGCCAAGTTGAATTCTGAACGTCATCAAGTTATCACTGAGAAACTTATGACTGTGAGACAGACTAGTACCTAGGGTACATCATGTTAAAGGTCAAAACTTTTAAGAAAAGGAAGAGTAATGGATATCAACTTCTTGTTAGGAATAACACAACGTTTTGGAGTATATGCTTGCTCCTTCATCAAGTCATGAATATTCACACCGCCTCCCTGGTGTAGTGGTTAGAGCGTCCGCCCCGGAGAGCGGAAGGTCGCAGGTTCGATCCCCGACCGCGTCTTACCAAAAGACGTTAAAATATGGTACTTGTTGGTCCCTGCCTGGCACTCGGCATTAATGGGTACAACAAGGACTGGTCGGCTCAGAGTCAGTATAATGTGTCTGAGTGGGGTATTCATGCTTCACTGTGGCATGGTATCTCAGTGGGCTAGCACTATAAAACCAGCTTAAGTCTGGGCTAGTACAAGCAGCCGCACATACACATACACACGAATGCACGTCGTCATATGAGCGAAATATTCTCAAGCACGACGTAAAACCAAATTTCACCTAACCTCACCTCTATGTAAAAAGAAGACTGGCTTCATTTAGGGAGCAGCAGATAGTTTCTGTCCTTTCTAATGACATGACTTACTCACCACTTTCCATCTTGAACTGGTTTCTCCTCTTTCTTCTCCTGTTTATCTCCGGATTCAGCATCAGCAGACACAGCAGGTTTCTCAGGCTCGACAGCCTGAACACAGAGATGGTGAATGTTAGCAAAGTGTAGGTCTACCACCAGGAATAATAACGTGTATAAACTATACTTGATGATCTGACATTGGGAAAGTGAATGTTGTTTGGAGCTCCACTTATTCCAGTTACTACATGTCAGTAAACCAGTCATCCTTGTGACTAAACTGAAACCATAAGCAACAAGCTATCCCATTGGATACTGTGACTCACATTCAGCCAATCACAGGGCATGACCTCATCAACACTGCAGTCAACATGAGATACAGGGACATATTCTGATTCCGAGGTTCCGTTCATGAAACCCAAGGTCAGTATGTGCTTTCAACTTCACACCTACCCATCAGTAAAAGCATAAATGCGTCTTCTCAAAATTTTGAAGACACAGACTTGACACACAAGTCGATGACAATGAAGGGAGGTAACATCATTATACAAGCAGGATTCTTGAAGTCCTTGAAAGTTGGAAGAACATGAATTTATGACACATTTTATGGATATCAACTTCTTTCAATTCCTTATCACCATGTTTCAGAGCTAAAAATATTTCAGAACGAGGTCTGAAATGTTGTTATAAAGAACATAAAGAAGTTGTTATCCATAAAAAGCGTCATGTATTCACCAGGATTCTTACTTTAGGTTTTGGCTCAGCTGTGGGATCCAGGAGAACCTTGCCCACATTCTTCCGGTCCTGCATCTTCTGCATGGCATCACACACCTGCAGTCACAGTGCAATACGTAGAATTATACTTAAATTAATTCTATCTTAAAGGCAATAACAAATATTATTACACTCATGCTGAAGACAATTTGGAAACCTCGTTACATTGTCAATGTTTAATAATGATGAACCTGCCTAATGACATTGACAAAATGTACACACCATTGTTGAAATATTGACCGTGGTCTGATAAGGAGTTAAATATAAGGACAATGCCTGCAGAATAAAACAGATAGTACACATGTTAAGGCTTTCACAGAGGTCACCTGTATTTAACTGACAAAAGAACCAATAAATAAGAAGAGGCTCTATGCTTCAGTCTCATTTTTGCACTCACTCACTCACTCATTGGAATACCCCTGAATTTTAGAAAATATATAATATGAAAGTCCCAATCAAAACAAAAATATATTCTTTCTATGGCAAAAATATTAGCATTGGCCTCTTGTATCAATAGAACTCATAATGTGTATAAGGTAAATGATTTTCTTAAGAATCTAAGATGGCCTAGAAGGTGCACATTTCATTGCTATTGAACAACATTTCTCATTATAAAAATGTTCAAACAGCTGTGTCCAACTGAGAATAATGTCAACAGACTAAAAAGGGAACACAATCACACATAAAGGCTCCAGAATCGTTCAAATTCTAAGGCACAGACTGATAAAAAAAATTTCCAGGAATCTCTCAAGACTCCATCTTTTAAGACAGTCTCTTCAAATATTTATGGAATCAGGCATTCATTGCATAATGGAAAAATTCTAGTTTTAATGAGCAAATGTATACTATTAGAACAGTGAATTAAGTCAGATGGGGTTGCCCAGTTCACCCAGCCTCCTAACCAACCACTCACAGACTCATCTCCTTCCACCGAGCCTCCTAACCAACCACTCACAGACACATCTCCGTCCACTCAGCCTCCTAACCAACCACTCACAGACTCATCTCCTTCCACCCAGCCTCCTAAAAAAAACACTCACAGACTCATCTCCATCCACCCAGCCTCCGAACCAACCACTCACAGACTCATCTCCGTCCACCCAGCCTCCTAACCAACCACTCACAGACTCATCTCCGTCCACCCAGCCTCCTAACCAACCACTCACAGACTCATCTCCGTCCACCCAGCCTCCTAACCAACCACTCACAGACTCATCTCCGTCCACCCAGCCTCCTAACCAACCACTCACAGACTCATCTCCGTCCACCCAGCATCCTAACCAGCCACTCACAGATTGATCTCTCATTCACTCATTCCTCTCCCTATACTCACATCCTCGAAGGCCCACACTGAGTCGATGGTGGGGTTGATCTTGCCAGCACTGTACATCTTGAACAGCTTCTCAATCACCTCACGGACATAGCCATGTTGGCCTTGGTTGAACAAGAGCCGCCTCAACTGGAAGCCTCCTATCACCTTGTTCTCGTCAAACAGCTTGATGGGGTTCACCTTGTCCACTTGCCACCACTGACGCGCACCAACAAATGGATGACATCAGTTTAACATTCAAAATATGAAATGATGACCTTTAACGAAGACAGATGTTTTAATTCTACTTTAAACCAAATCTAGGACAAATGAAGTACTATAATCTATTTCTAACTTCAAGAAAATCTAGATGATTCTTGACAAATGAAGGCTTATCCGCTATTTTTACTTCAAGCAAAGATTATTGATCTTTGCCCAATGGAGTACAATCATCTACTTCCACCATCGAGCAAATATAAATGCAGGGCTCCAGATAAATTTTCAACATCAGGAGTAGGTACTCCTTACTGTTTCAATACAGGAGTACTGGAAAACCTTAAGAGTACATTTAGAGTACTTAATGGAATTTAATGGAGTATCAGTAATCTTGTGTTTCGTTTCATATATGCACAACAATATTGCTACTCTTGTGTAAACAGGTCAATAAACAATAAAACAATATTTTTTTTCAGATAAATACGTCTGTAAATGATTCTAAGACCATACACCATTGCTGTAGTGCGTATCTGCTACGTTTTCTAAATTATTTCCTACCGTATCGTGCATATTTTATATCCGTGCATACGCCGATATGGCTCTTATCTGGAGCCCTGTAAATGATTCCATTTCTGATCCTTGGCAAACTAGAAAGGTGTTTGTATCACATGCAGATACATGTACAAAAGCAGCCCATCCCAAACATTTACTGGGTGCCCAGAAACCTTCACACCAGAAAGATGTATCATGAGCTATTCTCACTGTACCAAACCAGGTGACTGAGGACGTGAATCGAGGGAAGAACAGTGAAATATGGGGTAACAATCATAAGATATATACTCATGGAAATGAATAAGGGAACACATGAAAGTACAAGTGTCTTTTATTCGTTTCCAGGTTTCTTCACAAGGTATGTATTGCACTGTGGGTGAAATTCTGGAAATAAATATAGGAACACTTAACTTTCATGTGTATTCATTTCCATTAGTATATATGTACTCACTTCACTTCCTAGAATACACGGGCTGTGGGGTAGCCTTGTGGTTTAAGCATTCGGTCGTCACGCCGAAGAGACGGTTTCGATTCCCCACATGGGTACAATGTGTGAAACCCATTTCTGGTGTCCCCCGCCATGATATTGCTGGAATATTGCTAAAAGCGGCATAAAACTAAACTCACTCACTACTAGAATACACAAAGCCTTTCAGAATATATATTTGGGATTACCCCTTCCTTAAAAAGTACAGATTCTGGTACTTTTTGGAGTGTGTGTTCGAATCCTGAATGGGACTCAACTTCCAAGTACTAGAATCTGTGCTGAGAAAGTAAAATCCAAAATATAACATATGTTGAAATTAGATGCCCAGAAATATCCTACTTACAGATTTTGCAAAGCTGAAGAAGCTTTTTGTTTCACCAGTTACTATGTTAGATGAACCTGAAACAAAAACATATTTCAGATTAAAAACAACAGCAACAATATACATTCAGATTATAAACAGCAACAGTATATATGAGGAAAACTTGGAACCTAAGCTTGTTGTACAAGTTGTTTGGCAGCAGGTAAATGAGTGAATGAGTGAGTTGAGTTTTACCCCGCACTCAGCAATATTCCAGCTATATGGCGGCGGTCTGTAAATAATGGAGTCTGGACCAGACAATCCAGTGATCAACAGCATGAGCATCGATCTGCGCAATTGGGAACAGATGACATGTGTCAACCAAGTCCGCGAGTCTGACCACCCAATCCCATTAGTCGCCTCTTACGACAAGCATGGGTTACTGAAGACCAATATTCTAACCCAGACCTTCACTGGTCGCAGCAGGTAATGAAGTTGGTAGTCAGGCTTGGTGACAGTTTGTCATAAAAGTCCATGGAATGTTCATCATAACATCAGTCACTGGTTTGTCTGATCCAATTACTTAGAGACTGCAGTTAAAGTTACAATTTTGTGTATGCAACGTTTTAGCATGATATCCTATTATTACAGTAAATATATATAACTATTGCAACAGGTTTGTAACTATTCACATACTAATGCATTATTAGTAGCCTAGCGGAACACTCCAGCCATCATTGCTAATTAATCCTATCAGCCATGTATATTTGTTCTGCCTCATGCACAGTCGGCTTCTTCCTATATTACTGCACTATTACCAGTATCCATTGTTGTTTGTAATCCCTTTCATGCATACCTTAATTTTGTCTTAATTAATCCCTGTTAGATGTTTCATAAATCTGTCCTGTGTTTTAGTACTTCTATCTTGCTTGACAACGGTATAAGAATCTATACCGAAATGTCGCATCATAATATAATAAAGAAGTTGTCATTAATAAAGCATCATACCTTTCTTACTATTGCAAAAATTAAAAAGCCCAAACCTGCAACACTTGTACTTTTATACTACTTAAATTTTGAGAAGGAAATTCTTAGCATCCTTGTGGTATAGTACAATACTTGATACTGTTGTGGACTATAGGGAACCTATTTTCAACAGACTAAATTATACATTTCAGTATCTTAGTACCCTCTTATTCCTGTAACAGTATGAAATACCCTACCATTTGTTGAACAGTATAACAATGGTAATATGGCCACTTATATAGCGCTGAACTCCACACCGCAGGGTCATGCTCCAAGCTCACACAACATGCTGGACATTATAGCCCTGGGTAACCCAAGCTCTCTGAGGTGCTAGAAGATTAATTGTCATATGACTTATACCACTGGGTACCCATTTTCTACTGAACTCACTTGCCTAAGGTGAGATCACATAGGTGCTTCGTTGTGGGGCAGGACAGTAGTCCTAGAAAGTCTCAGGAGTCAAACTGCCAAACACAGTCACCAATCCGAGGACTCTCCGTGACTGATGTTGCTTAACTTCAACTGATTTGTGACCTGAGCTCTATGCACAGGACCACACACCATCAGTATAGCTGAACAGTACACATGCAGTACATATTGAACTCACCGCCTCCGTGGTGTAGTGGTTAGAGCGTCCGCCTGGAGAGCGGAAGGTCGCGGGTTCGATCCCCGACCGCGTCATACCAAAAGACGTTAAAACATGGTACTGGCGTTCTGCATTAATGGGTACAACAAGGACTGGTAGGCTCGGAGTCAGTATAATGTGTCTGAGTGGGGTATTCATGCTTCACTGCGGCATGATATCTCAGTGGGCTAGCACTATAAAACCAGCTTAAGTCTGGGCTAGTACAAGCAGCCGCACATACACATACACACGCAGTACATATTGAACTCACCATACAACAGGTACTTTCCCATTGGTTTAAGGAGCGTGATGCCTTTGTTGGTGTCATCTCCACACATGCAGTCCAGGACAATGTCCACCCCCTCGGCAGTCACCCTGCAAGCAAACTCACACAGTGTACACTTTTATAACAATAAAATTCAAAGTAACAAATTACGCTGTAACAAATTTGTTTTGACATCCCAATTAGCTCTAGCTATTAAGTTGACAAAAAGCTAATAAAGCATAGGGGTAAAGGTAGCCCTCTGGTCACAGAAAATTTGGTGGAGAGAGTTGTGTCCCTTGGTTGGGGCAGAAACTGCAGAACGTGTGTTAGCATCAAGGTATTTCTCCACTAATGATCCTAGGTATCCATGGGTTTCACCTGGATTATATCCATGACTTGGCTTATCAGTCACATTAAGCAGACATGTCGTGATGTAACTTACAATTGTCTAAAGCAACATCTAACTCTCACTCACTGATTAATGATAATAGATAATTTTGAAGAGGACCTAATCACAATAAAATCTGACTTGAGTTCTTGCTAATGGTAAGCAAAGACCAGAGGTCATCCCTTACAGGTCATGGAAGAGTGAACTTACATGAACGGCCAATCAATTTACAAACAATATGTTGACACTAGTCAGTCAGAGAGCTGTTCAGAACTGCCGAGTTCTTTTCCTGGCTTTATTGCTTTGAAAAATGTTTTGAAAAGTTTACAATTCAAAATTTGAAAACAAACAAAAGAACATTCTGACTTGTCTCATTGAATGACAGTACTTCCAAAGTGCTATACTCTTCTGTTAGAATGTTTACGAGACATACAATGACTTTGACAGAATCAGTTAGTTACACAGCCCATAATTGTTGTTCAAGATACTCTGTGTTGTCCTTTTTGAGGCTTCATGTACACATTCGGACAGCAACTTTCAGCCATGCTCTGATTGGTCTTACTGGTCGGGGGGCGGTGGGGTCGCCCAGTGGACTAAAGCATTCGCTCATCATGCCAAAAACCTGAGTTCGATTCCCCGCATGGGTACAATGTGTGAAGCCCATTTCTGGTGTAAACTGCCATGATATTGCTGGAATATTGCTAAAAGTGGCATAAAACCATACTCACTCACTCACTTACTGGTCGGTGACTTGACCTGCAATGGGATGTCCTCAGATCGTTGTTTACTGAGAATTAAGATCAGATTTTAACGAGGTTGGAAAAGTTCCATGGCTTACTTTCTGATTTCTTGAGCATAGTCGACATTGTGGTCAAAGATATGGGAGACGTTAGCCTTGACGGCTTCGTGTTTGTTGGAGGACGCTGTACCAAACACTGTCACATCCTCCACCGTCTTACACAGCTGCGTGATTGCAGTACCCTGTAACACACACATATAGACACATGACTAGTAGGTACATAAAGGTAACTTGATTCCTCTGTTATCTTCTACCACAATGCATAAGCATGATTCACTATCTTAAATTTATGAATTTTCAAAGATTGTAAATCTGTTATCAAATTTCGGCCAGGCAACTGCTTTAACAATCCCTCAATACAGATTGAAGAAATCATCCCTCTGTTAGTTGTCAATATATAAATTATATAAAACAAAATATAAAGTTATATGTCAACATTTTAAATACAAGGAAATATCCTAAAATGTGATTCTTACCGAAACAAAGTTTCAACAATTGTTCACTATTAAACACCTTCATGCACACTGAAAGCCGGTTCAACAAGTATTCATCATAAACTTGTGTAAGTGTGGGCCTGGTGGACCACTTGTCAGTTAAAATAACATCCATTCCAAAATTCTCATTGGTCACCATTGAAAAACCTATCCTAGTAAATACACTGAATCAATTGGAGCTATTCATTCACATCTTCCACTGAAAAAAGTAACTCACATTTCTGTATTTGCATATTCTGATCAATGGCAGGTTTTGGTGGCAATCTTCACAAAATACAACCATTTATTTTCTAAATCATTGTCAAATGACATTCCCTTAGTTCGAAGATGGACGAAAAGTCTTCTTTCCAGTGGCACATTAAAATTGGAAACAGCACACCTAAATATCTTTGTGAATTCCCTGTGTTACACATGAAATATAAGATACATCTGCTTGGTGGAACTGGTAAAGTTATAAGTCAATATAATTTGAGTGTATAGTCAGCAGTCATTATCCTTTTTGGCTCAGTCAGTAGAAACATCTTAAAGATTTGGTTAGCAAATTTGAGAGGTGTCATAAAAAAATTTATTTGGTAAGCAATGTTATACTCTTGGCATTTTGAAATTTAGAAAAAGAACCTCATGAACATGTACATTTGCTTTGTCATTATTGATGGAGACAAATATGTGAAGATTTGGCTGCATGTTTTAGTATGGATAATGGACGCCTGACTGAAGCATAGGCCATTATGCAGACTGACTTGACTTTCAGAAAAGGCCATAACACAGACTGACTTGACTTTCAGAAAAGGCCATAACACAGACTGACTTGACTTTCAGAAAAGGCCACAACACTGGCTGACTTGACTTTCAGCCAAGGCCATAACATAGACAGACTTGATTTTCAATCAGACGAGCCAAATAGGCTATAATGCTGTCTGACTAGACTTTCAGCCATGGCCATCATATAGACTGACTTGACTTTCAGCCAAGGCCATACAACTGTCTGACTTGACTTTCAGTCAGATGAGCCAAAAATGTCACCCAAGCAGCAACCAACACAACAACTTACCACGCCTCCCCCTACAGAATGCACCAGCAGGGACTGGCCCTTCCTCAGGTTGGCCATGTCAAACAGAAGGATATAGGCTGTCACGTAGTTCATTGGAAGCGCAGCACCGTCCTGGAAGCTCATGTTATCAGGCATTTTGAACACATGGTTTGCGTTGACACTCACAAGCTCTGCCCATGCATTGTAGTTGGTGAAGCCAATCACACGGTCCCCGACCTGTAAAAAATATACATTATAAGTAAATATACATACATAGACTCACTGAGTATGACCATCCCATCCAATCCATGTTGTCTAACTAAAGGCAGTTTTCTGGGGAACCCTTTATATACTCAACAAAAGAAGTTAAGGACCACCCAAATATTCAATATTTAAGTATTGTATGGATCATAATATGAACTACTAAATACTTTGATACTGAAAATTTGGGTGGTCCTTAACTTTCTTTGTTGAGCATAAATTCAAGATCTCCCTTGGGTATTTGTAGGGTATTATGAGGTGAGAAGCAAAAGCGGAAACATGTAACGGCGTGAAATATGAAAAACGTGTAGTAGCAGACATAACGTAAATTTTAGTTGAAATTACATAAGCTTGGTTGTATGCAATTGGAAGTGGAAGTGAGCTTAATCAAGAGTATTTGGTTGTGGACAGAATAAAAACAATGATTGATCATGAGGGGGAAAACAAGTTTCATGGATGGACAACTTCTTTATTGCAAGTCATGATGGTGTTAGCATCTAAACCAAAACATTGCACGTATTGCAATAATTAACTTGTCAAATCCATAAAACTTCTTCGTCACACCAACTTCTAAATGCCCCTTACAGAATAACGATTGGCAAGTCAGCAAGATGAATGAAATTGGTCATGCAGCTTATAAAAAACATTAAGCAAACTATTGCCAAAATACAGAGCAATGTTCCGGTAACACTGTGACACTTGGTAGAACATGGTAAAAATTGATAGTTGGTACATTCATTTCCTGGGGTAATTATCAACAGCTGACATCTGCCCATGTGTAAAAGGATGAGTGAGTGAGTGAGTGAGTGAGTGAGAGAGTGAGAGAGAGAGTGAGTGAGTGAGTGAGTGAGTGAGTGAGTGAGTGAGTGAGTGAGTGAGTGAGTGAGTGAGTGAGTGAGTGAGTGAGTATTGTTTTACGCCACTTTTAGCAATATTCCAGCAATATCATTGTGGGGGACACCAGAAATGTTCTTCGTACATTATACCCTTGTGAGGAATCCATCCCAGGTCTTTGGTGTGGTGAGCGAACATTTTAACCACCAGGCTACCCCTGTGTATTTTAATAAAATAATATCATATCATTTATATCATGTTGCATATTATTGTGGGCAAAGTTCCTCCCCTGTTTAAATTGTTGTGGGCAAAGTTCCTGTGGGCAATGTCCCGTACACCGGCTACCCCAAAGCCCCTTTTGTGAAATGTTAGAATAATGAGTGAGTGAGTCAGGTTAGTTTAACACCGCTTTTTGGCAATATTCCAGCAATATCACGGCGGGTGACACCAGACATGGGCTTTACACATTGTACCCATGTGGGGAATCAAACCTGGGTCTTCAGTGTGACAAGCGAACGCTTTAACCACTAGGCTACCCCACCGCCCTGTTAAAAATAAGTTTAGTGAGTGAGTTTAGTTTTACACCACACTCAGCAATACTCCAGCTATATGGCGTTGCGGGCTTTGTAAATAATCGATTCTGGACCATACAAACCAGTGATCATTAGCATGAGCAATGATCTACACAACTGGGAACCGATGATACGTGTCAACCAAGTCAGCACGCCTGACCACCCGATCCCGTTAGTCGCCTCTTACAACAAGTAGGGTTACTGAAGATCAGATCTAGCCCTGGGCCCTTATTCTCGAAACATTCGTAGCCCTACGAATTCTTAACTTTGGTCGCAGCCAATGTGTTAAGAATGGGCTTAAGAAGTTTGTAGGGCTACGAACGTTTCGAGAATAGCTAGCCTGATCTTCACAGGTCCATTGTCATAATAACTGACACTGTCAACAAGGTCAAAACAGGCCAACTAATATATTTTGTTGTTTCACAGAATATACTGAAGACATCAATTGCTGGCTTGTTACTGTAGTCCGAAAATGTTCCATAATTACCATCGCCGCCATAGAGTAGGAATATTGCTGAGTGCGGCGTAAAACTAAACTCACTCACTCCATTTGTCATTAAGAATAAGGAAAAAACAGTGTGGATAGTCGACATATGTGGCTTCTCTTCACGAAATGAAAGATACCAGAAAAATATGTACAACAAAAAGGTGTAGCAGAATAACAAATTTGTTTGGTTTTTAAATTGCATTCAGCGGTCTTAAATCAACGATAAAGGACTGCAAAATTGAAAACAGAGTAGCTTATCTTCTAAATCATTAATTTTTTCTCTCACCTGAATATTGCTACATTCTGATTAAAAATTCTTTTTTCATGAACTATAATCAATCCATTGATTTCTTCTCTAACCAAAATATCGCTACTGTTCACACATTCATACACAGGAATCTGTACGTCATTAGTGTGTCTGTTTGCTATTAGCCTGTAATTGCTGTGTCTACAAACAGCTAGGTAGCCACATCCAACAGTTGATGACTTCTGCAGATCATAAAACAGATATATGACAATCTGGTGCTATCACATCAACCTGGCAGCCACAGGTGTCTGGGGCAGGTGGTGAGTCACTGTGAGTCCAACATGTATTAAGGTTGGCCTGTTTCCAATACAGGCCTTGCAACATAAGGATAACAGAGTGAGTGAGGTGTGTGTTAGTTTTGGGATTTGGATAAAATCGCATAATTGATGATTGGTTCATTACAACCCATCAATCATCAAAAATAATTGGTTAGCGTCATTTATCAAATTCTCCTGTTATGTTTGTTAATGCACAAAAGTTTTTGTGTTGTTTTTTTGTGCAAATTGCACAAAATGCATTTTGCAAATTTCACATCTCTAAAGGATTACTAGTATATTAGGAACATAAATTTCCTGGAGTCTTTAAGATAAATTCAATCATGATTTGGAACAAGCTTGTAGTGGTTATGAAATGTAAATGTAATGACACAGAAAAAAATAACTTGTGAAAAATATTGTTAATGCAAACAAGTGTTCCAAAATTGTTTGTGGTTGATTATGAGAAAATATAATCGATTGCTTGGTCGCTTAGTCACTGCAACCAATGTTCTATTATTTTAATTAATCGGACCAACACTAGTGAGTGAGTGAGTGAGTTAAAATTTATTGTCACATCTGCAATATTTCAGCCATATCGTACGAGAACAAATAATTTTATACATAGTAATTAATGGTAAATTGTAAAAACCTGTCAACGAAGGACAGTAAAATAACTAGATTATCACAGACTCGAATTTAAAACTAGTAATTAGATCTAAAACAGTTTAACTATAGATGACAAAACAATATAAAAACAGGCTATATATTGCCAACTGAAGGTAGATCACCATATTAGGGAGCATGGGCACTTGCAGTACATTTGCTTCCTGCATGGACCCTAGCTGGATTTAGGGTGACCTAGGCGGTCGCCCGGGTTCAATTCCCACATGGCTATAATGTGTGAAGCCCATTTCTGGTGTCCCCCACCATGATATTGCTGGAATATTGCTAAAAGCAACGTGAAACTAAACTCACTCATTCACTCTTTCTGTATCATCATGACTTGGTCAAGTGTGGGCCACACTGCGCGGAAAGTCCACATACACACTATTATAGTAAAAATAACTGGGTGGCAATTGTCCTGCTCCCACATATGTGAACCACAACAAGATGTTGATATGTTCCAAATGTATCCAAATGATACAGCATCTTAGAACCTGACATGTAAGACAAGGCCTAAACACAACCTCGACTCCCCAACCCCGCCCCACTAATACAATCAGTCCCTAGAATAAAAAAATAAAGAAATGAGAAGTCACGTCCTGGCAGGTATGCCTGAGGGATTTCCAGGGATTCTTTCCCCATCCAATACCCCCCTCAATCTTTCAGGTTGCATCCCTGCTACAATTAACCCATTTGTTTTAGCCTTGTTAAAATTAATGCATTAATGCATTATCAAGAGCATGAGAAAGAACATCTGTACACGGTCAATTCTACCTACAACATGCCATATGAGAAACAGTGGTATCAATCCATCGATAATCTTCATATAATTGGCTCTGTCAGATCATGACTAAGACACTGCATGATGCTGCCTGACCAAAGCCATACATACAGCATTCGAAATTAACGTCGGGCCTGAGGCCTGAAGCAGACTAAAAACCACTCGGACCCACAGCTTTTGTTTTCTGCAGGTCCTTATGGCCGACAGCTTTTTCATCCCCAACAACTAAGGGTATTATTTCCATATTAAAATATAGGGCCTTAACATTCTGATCATGACCCACAACTTGCTATGGTTCTGGGTCCTTAGGGCCTGCAGCTTTTCAGGGCTAAGGGCAAACACTGCATACATATCTTGCCTAACAGTACAGAGAGATGTGATAACAGTCGTATTATACTGAATAGGTGCTAAATGGGGATATTGTGAGACAGAGGCACCATGCGCTATTGATTTTGAAAGTTTTGTCACAGTGACCACAAACAGCGGCCATTAAACCACCCTAATGGCTCATCTAGCATCTGACCACATACTGAGACTATGTCTGGATACAGTGTATGAAATAAGGCCCGTCCGACCGCCCGAGACGGGCTAGATATCTGACGGACGGTCTAGATTTACACCTAGCCAGTCCGATGGTCTGGTAATTATTTTAGATGTTCTATACATATGATTCAATTCACCATATCTTGCTTGGTATCTGGTCTGGTTAAATCTATTTTTTGCTGGTAACATTTTGAAGTTACCAGCCCTGATGTCTGGCTGGGTTTTTGGCTTATTTCATACACTGCTGGATACGAAATAACATATCTGGGGTGTCATGTCCACCTCAGGCATTAACAGCTGGAGGTGTAGTAGGATGAAATGTCAAATGCAGAGATGTGTTTGTCAGTGAGCGAAGTGTTAGGAGCTGGAGGAAATAATATAATCAGTTTTCTATGCAAATCAGCTGGTTGTAATCATTCAATATTTTTGTTATATTTCGTCAAGTCTACTGCATCCTCTGTCAAAAATGTTTTAAAACATGCAGAGTGTACATAATAATATGGTACGTATATGTTATATTTTTCAGAAGTTTGACTGACATTAAGTCCTGGCTTTGCTTCCCCGTTTGCAAAAGAAAGCTCTATCCATGCCTGTGCAGCAATACATTTAATTGCAATACAATACATATATGTATGCATGTCATTGTATCCCAGTTGCATAGCTCAATGCTCATGATGTCAATCACAGGATTGCTTGGTCGGTCCTGACTTGATTACTTACAGACCACTGCTACACATTGCTGAGTGTGGTGTTAAACCAGGAACAAACAACAGGTACCGGTACTATACACAATGATGCAGGAACACTTAACTGGAACACAGTATTTCCTAGCAAGGCATAAGAAGCATATATCTTTATGTGTCATAATTAGTATCGGGATGCATGAAGAGATAAACACATCGGTTATTGACTGATAAGTGAGTGAGTGAGTTACCATTTTAAGTCACATCGGCAATATTTCAGCCATATCGAGACTTGACTGATAAGAGTGAGTGAGTGAGTATAGTCTTACGCCGCTTTTAGCAACATCCCAGCAATATCACAGCGGGGCACAACAGAAATGGGCTTTACACATTGTACCCATTGTATCGAACATTGGTATTCGGCGTGACGAGCGAACGCTTTAACCACTAAGCTACCCCACCGCCCTGACTGATAAGAACACAACCATGTTTAAGACGTTATATAAACCAACATTAGACAGGTTAGGATACATGACATCAACCTCACATATCACAATACCAGTCAGACAGTCTGATATTAGTGCAATCTAGCACTGCATTTTGATGCAGAGTGTTTTTTTTTAAGTTACTTGTAATAAGTACTGCTGGTTATCCCTCACCAGATGCAGATCGATAATCGGAACACAGTAATTGATCAATAATCGATTTTAATCATGAACCCCACCACAAACTGATTTGGGCAATAATGGGACACAATCGTAACATTGTGCAAACGAAACAGGCACTGATTAATACTACAGGATACTTCCTGTTGAGACACGCACGCGAGTCTGTTGTTTACATTGCAGTTTTAATGAGTCAGGAAACTGCATTAGTTGTTTGTCTTGATTTAACAAACTTTCTAAAGTTTAATTTGATGTTTCACTTTTTATGAATATCGACTAGTCTCCCAAGCCCATTGATAACTGCTGATGCAAGTGAGACCGATCCATTCAAACAATCGCTGCTGCACTAGCATTAAGTATGGCGATCATTAATTACGTTTTTCAGTTTCCTCAGTGGCCAAGCCAACAAGATGTTGCTGTGATCAGCGAGTGTGTGTTCTACTCAAATTACTGCTCAAGTTAGGCATTTTCTAAGTCAGACGTCTGATCAGCAGCCTGAGGAGACGTCCTGTAAGTGTCATCTGTGAGAGGGGTGGGCATGTCAGATACTGACCCCAGTCGGGGTACACAACCCCAATGCTATAGTCAGGTTGCAGTGAAAACGTACAAATGAATTTCACTTTAAACAAAAAAGTAAATCAAATTAAGTGAAATTAAGATTGCGAATCCTCATCATTTTACCTTGCCAAATGAACATTTAAATCTCAGAATTTTATTCAACTTAGGATAAAAGTTGTTTAACAAACGATCATAGATTCAAATCGCTATTATTGGTTTGTATTACAAGGGGGTAAGCGCAGTAGATGAAACAGTGAAACAAATGCACGTGCGGTACATGATGAGCGTTAACTTAGACCAGCCCTACTTGTTCTCGGTGTTTCATCTAGTGTGCATGAAATTTTTACTTTCATCGACTGTTTGACTTGGAAATGTAAGATTCTTTTTTCTAGCAATGGCTTCCCATGAGAAAGCATCAGGTGTAAATGTCTCCTTAACAAGCATCAACCAATAAATCTGGTACTTTCTGTATTTTGCACTGCGCATTTATCAACAGAAGTCAATTACTAAACTATCAATAGTCACACATACTATCGATGCATCGATAGTTTTTCGTTTCTACCATCAATTAATTGCTATCGGAGGCTCAACAGTTGCAATCCATCGATAGTTTGATGCATCGTTACAGCCCTAGTTCTCACCTTGAATCCAGTTGTGTTTTCACCAACCCCCTCGACGATACCGGAGCACTCAAACCCCATGGTGATTGGTGTCTTTGGGGGAGTGTCGATAACACCTTGCCGCACCATCAGATCAGGAAAGTTCATACCACTGTAAAACAAGAAAAACATTCAATTACAATGTCACCACATTGTAATGCTGATTCTATTTTGATAAAGTGTAAAATGTCTGTTATAATTCTTTTAAAAAATATCATCTGATAGGCCTAAAAAGAAGAACAGTTTTCAGAAAATATACATGTTCATGAGCAAAGGGAGTTAAGCGACTGTAAAAGACCACTTTCCACCCTTGCTGAGCTTAAATTGAATTTCTTGGCTGCATTGTAGATCCACTCGTGGATATTGTGGGTTGTCTTCCCCTATGCCTCTACAACTGACCAATCAAGTTGCACCTATCATTGACTTCAAACACATTGCAAGTACCCACTCCAGTCAAGTTGATCTCACGAGATCCCAGGTTTTATGCATCAAATTCTTTGGCACTTGTTTAAAAACATGAAAAGATTTGGAAAATATCTGTTGCTGCACTGTTGACAGTACACATGCTATGCAAATCCTACCATTGACCAAAATTTGCATGTTAGTTTGCAAACTGGATGTCAGTTTCAACAGGTAGTTTTGACTATGCATAGACTTAACATAACTAAAAACATTCCAGTCTAGTTTGCCAAGGGTGGAATCTGAAATTCTATGGTCATTTAACACCCCTGCCTCGAGAAGATAAAGAATACATGTATCATAATTGATTCAAGTATTAAAGATTTAAGATGTAATATTATCAGATATGTACCCATCAATTATCATTATATTCAGAACATGCATTGTAAGAGGGAACATAGACTTTTACTTTTTGTATGGGTTCTTAGTAGGCCTGGGATGGGTTACTCGAGTACCTGAGTCAGGTAAATAATTTTCACTACCCAGGTCCTGAAAAAACTACCCTAACCCATTTCATCATGTGAAACAGATATTCTGATACACTATTGAACTGAAATAATTAACTGAACTTTATATTGAATTTATCTTTCAAAAGCAGAAAAGAGCACAACAAAAATACTCATTCCATATAAGACAATAGGTGTATTTGCATGTTATACCTTCAAGTGTGTTTTGTTATCAGATTAGCCACCCCTCCCACCCCAAAAAATAAATAAATTTTTTTTTTTAAAAAAATGTGTTTACGGTTTCCTGACCAACCCCATCACAATTCTCGATCCTAACCTTTTTTTTCTGTTATTTTTGGCAACATTTTGCTATTCCAACAGTATGTACTCCCCAATGTTGACCATTTGTGAAGCTCACTTATTCTTGTTTTTCATAAATGTCGAATTAAGTAAGTGTTGTTGCTTCAGTTATTAAAATTGTTAACTGGTTTCCCCTCTTTTCTTTCAAAACGGGTCCCTGATATTACATAAATATGTCAATTTATGAAAATGAGTGCATTTTAAAAAAAAAATGTAAGAAGAAATAAAGATAAACCCTACCTACCAACCCTGTTTTATAATTTCACATGCCTAGTTTATTTGCCTCAAATCCTACCATTGAAGACAAAAATGCCACCATATTCAAAGCTCAGTACCAAATTTGCTATTGAACTGGATGCTTGGGAGAGTGTTTTAGAGACATGCCAATAAAATGTACCAAACACTTTGTTTTTCATTGTGTTAGTAAGAATTAACCCTAAACAGAACAGGACAGGTGCAGATCCAGAGGGGAAGAGCATTACCCCCTAATCTTTGGACTTCATGATTTATGTGCACCCCCTTCTCCAAAAGCCTGGATCCGCCCCTGCTGGAATGGGTACCAGGTGGACCCAAACTTTCCTTCCATTCCAGCACCAGTTCTATGAAACTTGCTAGTTGGGAATATATGCCAGAGCTTGTAAAGCCATATAGTGTTAGCAATAATACCACTGGTTATACATGCATTATATAACATAGTTATTCACACATATTGTATGCAGTTATGAGTCTATTAGTTGAAAATTTAATATGTATCTCTCATTCTATGTCCAGTTTGGGAAAAAACAGAGAATATATCATCATGATATGAATCGTAATATCACTGATTCAAAATAACCAAGATATTGTTAAAAATTCTGAAAATGGAATTATTATCAGGATATAGTTTTTTGCCACGTCACATCTGGTGAAAGTTAATAACATGGAATAATACCCAGAGTTTAACATGAGTAGGTAAAGTGGCATTGATTGTGAGCTTTGTAATACTATAGGTCTGACTCACAGAATATTCATGAGTAGCTTTTATTGAAAACACCATAACACAGTCTGTCGTCCAAGAGGAAGTGGGGTAGCCTAGTGGTTAAAGCGTTCGCTCATCTTGACAAAGACCTGGGTTTGATTCCCCACAAGGGTACAATGTGTGAAGCCCATTTCTGGTGTCCCTCGCCGTGATGTTGCCAGAATATTGCTAAAAGCGGCATAAAACTTAACTCCCTCACTCACTGTCTTCCAAGAGGACACATTTAATATGAGTCCTACTCAAGTCTAGTATCATTTGGCAAGTCTAGAATCGCTTAGGGCTGGGACGATACACTACGTCATATCGCGATATTTTACCTGCGATACGATACGTATCACGATACATACACCTTGAAAAAATGACACCGTATCAAGATTTAAAATGATTTATTTCAAGGTATTTGTGTTTAACAATAACACTATTGTAATAAACAAACAAGTAACTTCATCATACTTGCGTATTTTTCTCTAAATAAGTACTGTAACATGTTTAAGATAATACTGTTTTGAAAAAAAGTTGTGTATCGTTTTGTATCGATACACCAGTCCACGATACGATAGCTGTATCAAACTTAAATGTACCGCGATGCATCGATGCATCGGTGAATCGTCCCAGTCCTAGTCTAGATTGCTTCAGTTGTGACCTGAAATTGAGGACTGTGCTGGGCTCCTTCAAAGAAGCTAGAAAAACATTAATCTCAAATTTAGGTTACAAAGTTTTAGAGTTTTATGAAGGACATAACTCAAAGTTAGAGACAGGATCTATATTCTCATGTGCATATAAGTAGAATGTTTTGACAAAACAATCAATCATCACACCTGCAAAGAATACATACAGCATTGACATACTTCATCATCTACAGTAGGCATGGCTTCGATGAGATAAAAGCGTTTGAAGACACTTGTGAGATCATCAGTGAGTGAGCGGGTTTAGTTTTACACCTCTTTTAGCAATATTACAGCAATATCATGACGGGGAACACCAGAAATGGGCTTCACACATTGTAGGTACCCATGTGGGGAATGGAACCCCGGTCTTCAGCATGACGAGCATACACTTTAACCACTAGGCTACCCCACGGTCCTGAGATCATCAGTTACCACAATCACTTATCACCCTGCAACTGAAGCTGGTTACCTGCACTTACCAGCTGAAAAACATAACATCCTCTGAGTAACTGTGTCTTCCACTAAAGGATCAAAACTGATACACAGACCACAGATTTTCAGCTTTTATTGGCTTCTGTTGATATATTTGATACCATAAAACACTTATTTGTAATTATAGTTTTTACACATTTCTGTTTTCTAACAAAGTGAGTGAGTGGGTGAATTGGGTTTTACGCCGCTTTTAGCAATATTCCAGCAATATCACGGCGGGGGACACCAGAAATGGGCTTCACACATTGTGCCTATGTGGGGAATCGAACCTGGGCCTTCGGCGTGACAAGCGAATGCTTTAACCACTAGACTACCCCACCGCCCCTTTCTAATAAAACTTAATCTTGTTATGCATAGTCAACTGAGCTTTTAACAAAAAGGTTGTGGTGGGGTGGCCTAGTGGATAAAGCGTTCGCTCGGCACACCATAAACCCGGGTTTGAATCCCCACATGGGCAAAATGCACAAAGCCCATTTTTCTGGTGTTTCCCGCAGTGATATTGCTAAAAGTGGCGTAAAACTAAACTCATTCACTCACTCACTTTAACCAAGTTATACAGAAAATATTCATGAAAACAAATCCAACTTACTCGGACATCAAATCTGTATGACAGACTTTCTACTACTACTTAAAATATATGGCTTTAGAGATAACTTCTTTGAGAAATACACTAGAAGTTCTGATCAAAGTTCTTGTCTTCTTTTTCATTATAATAGATATATTTTACAGAATGATGTCATCACTGTGATATGATCTTATATTTGCAGCATGCTTTTTCACAAGGTTTAGACAGACCAAACAGCCTCACACAGTCATGCCGTGTCACGTCAGTTTGTTTTAGTTGTTTAATGCACTTACAATCCCAACAGCATCAAAGTGAACATTACTATATTGAAGCAGACTTTCAACATGTGAGTACATACTCAATGGCTGAAAACCTAATCTGGAGGTCATAGTCCTGGGCCTAGATTTTCGAAGCTCTCTTAAGATAGTCGTAAGTTACTGTTAATGTATGGCACTTACGACTATCTTAGCGCTAAGAGAGCTTCGAAAATCCACAAAGCATTCGTAGCACTACAACATTCATAAGCTTATGGTAAACTATAGAGTTACGACTGGTCGTAACTTTACGAACGCTTTGTGGATTGGGACCCTGTGTTTATTGATTAATTTAACACCTTGAAGTTAGTATGTTTTATAATGATACTTCCTGTGACAATAAGGTGCAAATCAAATAACACCTGCTTATTTTCACATTTTCATGCCAAGTGAGGTTTATTCCCATGCAAAGTTGTTGTTGATAACGCTCCACTGCACGGCCTGTGAGGAAGTAGATCAGCTAATGCTGAATCTATTTCTGCTCTTGCTTCACTGGTTTTGTGAGGATAGTCATGTGACAGTCATGGGAATCTGACTCATGGACAAAAACACTTTCACAATTTTCCACTCTGACAGCTCTGTATGGTGTGGTGATTCAACCAGAACAGGCCATCTTTGTCAAGGTCATACATTGTGTAAACAGGACCTTTTTTGCATTCTCAAACAACAGTCATATTCATATATAATCTACACCTTATAAAACCTCTCCCACTCTCTCTCTTTAGTGGTGATCCGATTAATTGAAATAACTACATGCTTTTTCTTTATTTTTTTGTGCATTAACAAACAAATCCAGGAAAATTTGATAAATGACGCTAACCAATTATTTTCGATGATTGGTTGGTTGTAATGAACCAATCATCAATTATGAGATTTTAACCAATTCCCAACACTATCTCTCTCTCTCTCTCTCTCTCTCTCTCTGCATGTATGGGTGTGTGTATGTACATGCATGTGCGTATTAGTAGGGAGTATGTACTCCCATTTGTCAGACACCTTACATCATAATACATGTTAGCTGCAAACTCATAAAAAATCAACTTGTGACAAGAGTATTATGAAAGGATGACAATATATGGACGAACACATCTTTATTACAGTGAGAGAGTGTTCATCCATAATATACTGTCATCATTCCTTAGTACTCCAACTTCTAAATGCCTCTCAAACAATTTAAGAGTATTATGCTCATCCCACCATTTTCAAAATCCTGCATCCACCTCTTAGCATTCTAACTTAGCATTAGGATTTATCTCCAACACAAGAAGTGCATTTTAGAGCTTATCTTTTCATATAATGCTCCTTCACAGAAGAATACATAGATATGAAGAATAATGAGTTGCCTTCAAGAAGGGTTTTATCAAGTACACCATGATGCATGGTGTAGACATTTTCAACAGTACAGGTATGGTGCTGACATACCACTGAATCTTAATTGGAGAGAAACCAGGATTTTAACCCATGTTCATCAGATCCTTGCAGAACCATGGGACACAACTCTGAACATTGCGTTGCAGTGTGCTAGAACACTGGAAGTGTAAGGAATCACATCACAAATGTGCATCTCAGTTTGATACAGGAGCTGACCTTGGATGATACAATTTCTGGCCCAATATGGTTAACTAAAGGCCAGCTTTTGCTGTAAAGATAATTTAATAACCAGTATATTCTCTTATACAAAAGTATGACTGTTAAAGATTTATTTTCATATGTGAGGTGAGGTGAGATTGGGTTTAATGTCGTGCTTGAGAATATTTCGCTCACATGACGCCGTGCATGCGTGTGTATGTGTATGTGCGGCTGCTTGTACTAGCCCAGACTTAAGCTGGTTTTATAGTGCTAGCCCACTGAGATACCATGCCGCAGTGAAGCATGAATACCCCACTCAGACACATTATACTGACTCCGAGCCGACCAGTCCGTGTTGTACCCATTAATGCCGAGCGCCAGGCAGGGACCAAGTACCATATTTTAACGTCTTTTGGTATGTACTTTCCATAAAATTATCAATCTTCGTGTTTCAAATTAGGTACGTTCAAGCATATTGTTGACTGTTAGAGCACAGAATCAATAGCAGGTATCTACATGTTCTGTTCGTCATACAGAAACATGTCGCAAGCTGACTCAAATCTACCTATAAAATTTCACAGTGTATGACTGAAAGTGAAAAAATAGTGACAAATAAATTTTCAAAATTGCACTGAGTAGTCCTTGTTTTTTGTTTATTTTTGTTTCACACTGCACTGTACAGTATTCCAGCTACATGAAGGTCTGTAGATAATCATGTCTGGACCCGGCGGTGGGGTAGCCTAGTGGTAAAAGCGTTCGCTCGTCACGCTTAAGACCCAGGTTCGATTCCCCACATGGGACAATATGTGAAGCCCATTTCTGGTGTCCCCCGCCGTGATATTACTGGAATATTGCTCAGAGCAGCGTAAAACTGAAGTCACTCATGTCTGGACCAGGCAAACCTGTGATGGAAGTTATGAGCAACAATTCCCACCATCAAGGGACAATGACAACCTCTGTGAACAACGTCACTGAGTCTACTATATGATCCATTTAGTTGCCTCATGTGACAAGCACAGGTTGCTAGAGACCAATTCAAACCTAGAATTAGTTATTGTGAACATTCTGTTTCTAATTAACCTCTGTGTTTCATATATTATTTTATCATGTGTATGACAGAAATTGCAACATGGCCACTAAGGTGAAGGTCAATATTCAAAGCTGCAATTGTCCTTTGTATGATCTAATAATGTCAACTTGAATATTGACTTTATGAAACAACTGTTTCAAACAATCAATATACACACGTTTATCCTTCAAACGATTTGCTTCTATTTAAATATGAAAAACCAAACACTAGATGATAAGCTCTTTGAAAATTCATTATGAAACTTGTAAATTTGTAAAAAGATGAATGGATATGCTACATTCAACTTGTACAGTCTGCAGATTATTACATATTTTCTGTGTATCAAATATCAGGTGTTTTAGCTTACATGAACACAAATTTAATACATTCGGTTCTCGATTTCAAGTGACAGCTGTCAAGAGAACCCCTACAGTCGGCTACTTGTTTACATCCAAAAGGCTGAATAAGCAAATCATGTAGATGTTTTAATGAAATTCTGGCAAATGGCAGTCTGCCATAATTAATTCTTTGCATATGCAGATTCATTACCCATCTCTTTAACAACTCATCTTCAAGAAATTCCCAAAATGTTAAGCATTTCCACAACATTAGATACAATATGTTCCAAACGCTTCCCATCTGATGATAATCAATGCAAAGCAATGCTTACCATGCCCTCACTCTGATCAGCAGTTCCCCATCCGCGGCGGTCATTTCGGGTTTTTGCTGGACTTTCAGCATTTTCAACCCACCAAATCCCGTTAGAACGACGCTTTTCACCACTTTCGCGGGAGGGGCAGAAGCGTCTCCATCAGGCTTGGCCTCAGCGGCAGGTTCAACGGTTGGTGCTTGTGTCTCCGCCATTCTGAAACGATCTATCCTGTTCCGTTCGGTCTCTGCGAATGCTGTATTGCAAGGTCACTGTGGTATTAATTATGATGATTTTATTTCCAAGGTAACGGTGTTTGGCGTAGGAAGGTTGTAGGTGGACAAGACGAAGTCACCGATCGTTGCGACGAATCTCTCTATCTGTCGTCTGCTACGGTTTGTCGGTCTTGTGAGAACGGGTGACAGTTAACGACTGTGAGTGCGAGCGCAAGTTATCATCGATTGGTTTTAAAACTTGCCTGTTCTCATAATAATGTCAGTGCCATTACACCGTCTTATCAAATATACTCAAAGCGCAGATGGATCTCCACCGGCAGAAATATATTGACATGGATGTCGGGTCATATTAGCACGACAGGGAATAAATCAGTTATCACATGACTCGCGGCGTGCTCGACAAATTGCTCGATAGATACACATATGCTTGCCTAAGGGGTTTCGGTGAAAAACAACTTAGCCATGAATAAAGACGGCGTTTGTGTTGTTGTTTTCTCGTTCAGATTTCCCCTGAATTATTCTTTGCTCATGAATACAAGTGGTTATATAAGCAAAGGTACAATGAATATATTTATATGAATAAATAAATAACCCGCGGCTTATATAATATGGACTCAACTCTTGCGTAAGTGTAGAAATGTTAAGTTAAATGCTTTATTTTTTGTTTATAAGCAATAAAGGAAATACTACCATATTTAATAAATCATCTTTCTATACATCATAATAAGAAATTATGTAAAGTGAGTAACTAGAGTCGTGTTTTTATTGCATGTCTGTGAATGTGTTTAGAAGAGTGTCGGGTCGCTCTGACACCAGCTCGATGTGCAGGAAAGCGTAAGTGATGAGAGCGCATAAAAGACAGATAGGGATGTCTGCACACATATCGGTAGGATAATGAAAACATAATTTCGTTTCGAACCAGTGCTTGTAAGTTATGATAACCCTGTTCACTTAGGCAATAAGTGGGTTATTTTGTGTTTCGGTAAGGCACATATGTATGCAAGCATTTGTCGCATCTGTTCGTATTGTGCTGGGCGCAACTCATCTTCCTTATCTCGACGGCGTATTCTCCGAAGTGCTAATTTGTGTAACTCGAATAACGAATTGATTTCTATCTCGAATGTCTCGATAAGATGTGTTATTATCTAGCTTGTTTTGAGATTAATCGAATCAACTGCGCTTCCTTCTAGCTTTACCTTCTCGTCGATCATTCCGGAAGTTTCTTAAAAAAATAGAAATGAGTCAGGTAGTTTTACGCCGTTGGCATGATTCACTTAATTCACAAGTCGTCGTATCATGATTACCTACATGGTTTGACAAAATCTTAATTTTCGACATGTCTGCATAGTACAATGCGTTGTGTATGGGTATTCCATCGTGGAGGGGTAGCCTGGTGGATAAAGAATTCGCTCGTCACGCCGAAGACCCGAGTTCGATTCCCCATATAGGTAATGGAGCCCTAGAGGCGTAGCCTGGTGGATAAAGCGTTCGCTCGTCACGCCGAAGACCCGAGTTCGATTCCCCATATGGGTACAATGTGAACAAATCCGCAGTGTCAGCTGTTAGTTTGCTTCAAAGGGTCGTAAAGCCATTCTCGCTCAGCAACCCATATGATGGAGTTTTACTTCACTCGATTATTTACAGAGATACTCGTCACATAGCTGGAATATATGTCCATAGTTGGAGTACGGCGTTAAACATCAAACAAAACAAACTGCAAGTAGATAACGCTATTTCTTTGTAGCTGACATGTTCAACCGCGTTTTGGGTACTTTTTGGTTGTGGGGCGGTGGGGTAGCCTAGTGGTTAAAGCATTGGCTCGTCACGCCGAAGACCCGTGTTCCATTCCCCACATGGGCACAATGTGTTAAGCCCATTTCTGGTGTCCCCCGCCGTGATATTGCTGGAATATTGCTAAAAGCGGCGTAAAACTAAAATCAATCAGTCAGTCAGTCGTCACGCCGAAGACCCGGGTTCGATTCCCCACATGGGTACAATGTGCGAAGCCCATATCTGGTGTTCCCGCCGTGATGCTCCTAGAATATTGCTAAAAGCGGCGTAAAATGAAACTCAGTCAGTCAGTCACTTTTTGGTTGTCTTCTTTAAAATATTAAGGGGTAATACATAGAAGCTTGGAATTACTTCTTGCAGCTGGTGGTTCGTCTTTAGATTAAATCGACATAAAATCGATAATTCCCAGTGCACACAAACACTTACGTGCATTAATTACAAGTGGTTGCCTGCAATGTTTTCCGTCACACATGAATAATTACATTAATTACAACTGGTTGCCCCTGGGGATATCGTAACCGATAGTTGTTGGAAGCGATTTAATGGACCGGCTGCGGTGAGGCTTGGGGGCTTATTAGACTTCGTTATATCAACAACGGTTAAGCTATGGTTATTTCAGACACTAGATGTAAGTCTATGTTACTTTGTGGCTTAAGCTAACGGTTATAGTCTCTGAAAATATATAATTTTGATAGAAACAAATTACACCATGTAAATGGAAACGAACCCCAGTGAGATGGGAGATCAGAGTGAGAACCTGAGGAAGACTTGGCGTAATTTAGGGCTATTCCATGATAAAGGTGGCGAGGGTGGAACCTGGTTGATTACATGTCATCGGATCCCAATTATGTGGATCGATGACCTTGAGTTCAGTTCCTGGATTGTGTGATCCAGACTCGATAATCTATACACAGACATGGTATTGCTTGAATATTAACGAGTGCAGAGTTAAACAACTGAACGCATACTATCTGGGTTGTCTTCATCTGACGGGATTTTAACAGAAGGCAGTCAGGTGATATGCATAGTGATGAGTGCATGTCGCGTTATATAACATTTTGTGTTGAACAGCTTGCACATACATACATACATACATACATACAAAGTAATAGCTAGTCTGCTTATATGGCGCTCATGTCCAGGCACATTGCCTGCTCACGGCGCTACGTACATTACTATCCCCGGTCATAGGACACTATCGTACTTTCCGATACTGTTTCAACTCCCTGGGGATATAGCCATGCTGCCTGTTAGGCGCAATGAACTAAATACTCACTTTGCCAGCACATCCTCAAGGGTACCCATTTTACAGCTGGGTGAACTGAGACAATGTGGATCTAAGTATTATGTCCAAGGATACTACGCAAATACACACGCACACGCACAACGTGTCTGCCTAGTTTTATTTCTGTGTGTGTGTGTGTGTGTTAGTTAGAATAACGCTTAGTCTCTGAATATATATAATTTTGATAGTAACAAATAAACCCATTTAAATTGTAAATGAGTCCCAGTGAGATGGGGCTCACCTGAACCTGACGAAATCTGGACTTGCTTCATTTAGCGCTTTAGCACTGCAGAGAGGCTTGGCAATAGCCTAGCCTCTGTTTCTACTTGTTCTTCTTTCATATGGCCAGATGTACTTGGTTCTATAATGGATCTGTAGGACGTTGTGGATCCTCGAGTTTCTTCAATAAATTGAGCTGAGAATGTGATGATGCTGAAATAGGGTGACCGTTTCATTAAATGTCTGCGCCGAGGTTCGAAAGAGAGACAAGTCTGGGTCTAGAGTTGCTAAAGTGGGATAACCGAGCACTTAAAACGTTCGTTCGTCAGACTGAGGCGCGGGTTCGATTCACCCACACAGGCAAACTGTGTGAAGCCCATTTCTGGTGTCTGCGATGTGATATTGCTGGAATATTGCTAAAACCGCCGTAAAACACATTAGTCGTACTCGTGTACATGGATGGCAATCTTGTACAAGGTGATGCAGTTTTAATGGAATAATTTCTTAATACACAATCTCCTTATATGATAACATCGCATTATCAATTAGTGAAATCGGACTAGAGATGTTCGCCACTGAATAGATTTATTCGTATGCACACGCTCCTATTATCAACCACTACCTTATCTGAGCCACATTTGATGATTACATGCTGCCACGATGTACATAAGGTAGTGGTTGATAATGATACACTTCTCACTGCGACGAAAACAAATGAACACCGAAAATCATGAAACAGTGTGATGTCTAAAACTGCATCAGCTGTTTATACACCAATTTATCGATATACCCAATCAAAGAATATTTGGAAAATAAATTAGGGGTAAATCATTAAAGACATCTGTAAATATCTGACAATGATTGATGTCACACATATGATTTTAAGACATCTGTAAATCGAATTTTTCATATCTATTATGGGTTATCGATCATCGATCGATCAGTCATAAAATGCAGATCAATACGAAGGCGCCTCATAATTCCCCATGTAATTAACTGTGCAATATAATTATATGCTTAAAATCCAATAAAACAGCACCTACATTGTTTCATTATGATATGTGTAAGTGAATTTGGCTTTTAAAATGAAGGGAATGCATTCAGGCATATGCTTAGGGTCAAAAATGGAGATAATTGAATTTCACATAACAGAGTGTAACGAAAAGACAAATTTCACGTTTAAATCACATAAAACTAAAAATTCACATCCAATATTTTTTACAGGAACAAACAGATGTAAAACTACCATTCATCTTTACTGGCTGGCTGTTAGATCTACCAGGGGCCATTCGAATAAAATGGCGAAGCCTGGAACTCTAATTACAATGAATCCATATCCAGTGTCACAGACGTTCATATCCGCTAACTGCTGATGAATGCAAGGAAACAAATTGTTCTCCAAGCCTGCAGATGCCAGGACATAGGAGACATCGATAGGATATCGATCGAACACAAGTCCCATTCTTGTCTTCGTACTTCCACTATTCCCCGCCGCGCACAAAATCAAAGGTCATTTCCGGGAACAACGGCCTTCACCTTTAGATACGTCAAGGCAAGCCAAACTTCCCCACCGATTACCAATTTCCTTTGTGTATTATGAAGTATCGAGACACCGCTGTGGAGGATCGTACCTCATGAAGTAAAGTACACATAGCAGGTATTGTGTTTCCTGTGCTGTAACGGAATGTGAATGTATTTTGAAGTTGTTTCATGCGATGCTCCGGAAATATAATGAGGCTCTGTATGCGTGGTCGCCGATACATGTATACATTACTTTTTGAGAATTCACAAAGGCGCTGTTGGCATTCAGTAAGATGATATAAAATCAACTGAACACCTAGTAGGTGTAACAAGAGCATTCGTTATCGAGGATAATCTCCTTCTGATTATTTGACGCACTGCATTTAGTAATTCAGTGACCACAAGAGAGGACACTTTAAACATGGGTGGCTCGATTATAAATAACCAGTCCCAAAGGCTCCCATTATAATCTACATGTTGCACAGCCGTATATTATGCCATTTTAACATTTATTAATAAATTATTGATCTGCAATTGCTTTAAGATATCTCTATTGCATTTTAAAATATAAAAGAGGTTTTTTTAAGGTATCAGTAAATAATTGAAAATATCAGTTTCTGATATCCAAAGTAGAAGAATATCTTGAAATGTTTCTGAGATATCAAAATATTTCGGGATATCTATTAATGTGGTAAGATATCAATAAAACAGATAATATCATATTGTACATAATGATGTTAGAAGTTAATTCATGATATCGTAATTTCAATTCAAAATATCTTTAAATACATATCCACAAACGTATTAAAGCCATAATTAATGCATTAAGATATCGGCGAGATAATTCTGACTGTTACTGATATCTAAAATCAAATTAGAGATATCATTAATAATTTGAGGATGTTTTTACATCAGCTGTTGATATCTGTATTATGAACGAACGGCAAACGAATTATACTGGACGTATCAGTGATTGAATTACTGATATCATTACAAACATGAATATGTATATATATTTAAATCGTATTCCGAATCCGCTCATCTAATTTAAGATATCAGCAATTCTTTTTAAGATATCATAAATGTACTTCGACATATCCATTTCGTGATATGAATTTTATTGCAAATATGTATGATTATTTCTGTTCGAGGTATCTTTACAATTTATAGATATTTTCAATTCAATTCACGATATCTCTAAAAGAATTTAAGATATCAGTAATTTTGTAAGAAACGTGAATAAGACTTACCATTCAGCCAATTAAGTCGCCACAATTAGTTGTGTAGAGTTGCCTCCCTTGGGTATGATGAAACGTATGATTTCAAGAGCGCTCGAATCCTATTTCGCCGGATTGTTTCTAGGTTTGTCAGTACCACATCCATGCTGATGGATTTCAGGGGCGGTGGGGTAGCCTAGTGGTTCAAGCGTTCGCTCGTCATGCCGAAGACCCGGGTTCGATTCCCCACATGGATACAATGTGTGGAGCACATTTCTGGTGTCCCCCTCCTGTGGTATTGCTGGAATATTGCTAAATGCGGCGTAAACCTAAACTCACTCATTCATGGATTTCAACAAAGTAGGAAGTATCTTAGATATGCATCACTTCTCGGTCCCGACCTAAAAACAAGCGACACGCCATACAATAAGTGGAATACGGCTTAAAGTGGCCTAAACTTACTCGCTCATTCTCCAAGTAGCTTTCTCACGCACTATATCGATTATTGTCTGTATTGATTACCGTTGGTCTCCATCTTTCACTAAGGCGGTTTAATGCAGGATGGAAAATGTTATACATAAAATTATCTTTGGGTTCCATGTCTCCAATTTTGTGGTCACCCATGATAGCAATCCTTGATAATTAATTAGACAGTATACAATGGGATCGATTTAAATGAGGGCCTTGTGCTCTACAGTATGTGACCTGACTGTTTATGCGGTAGCTGACCCTGATGGCAGGTGTTAGCATAGGCTTGAATAGTAATAGGTCGCGGTGGTCCAGCTTGAATAATGTTTAGTATGGCGCTAAAATCCCCTCCTTCTACGCTCGATGACCCGCATCTGGGGATGCTGGTGCTAATGGTTCCCCAGAAACTTATTGTTGTCATAAGAGGCGATTATAAAAACTGGATGACGTTGTGACTTTAAACAAGTGTGTGTGTGTGTGTGTGTTTCTAACCGCCTCTCACTCACTCACTCACTCACTCACACACTCACTCACTCACTCACACACACACACACACGCACCTTGGATCCGCCCAAGGATAGGCAAGGCCATCAACCTGTGAAAAAGAGGTCGTTACTTGCTTGATTGAATGTCACCGTATTCTAGTTACGTGGATCAATGTTCGTGATTTCATTCACAGGATTGTCTGGTCCTGTATCCTTGTTGATCGTTGGTCAGCATACCCAACTGAACCGGACATTGCTAACACCGATCACTGGTTTGTTAGGTCCTGACTTGAGTATTTACAGGCTGTCATTTTTTAACGCCACACAGTATTCCAGCTATATGACGACAGTCTCTAATCAATAGAGTCTGGTCCAAACAATATAGTAATCAACATCAAGAGAATCGATGTACGCAGTTGGGATACGATGACATGTTTCAAGCAAGTCAGCGAGTCTGACCACTCGGTCACGTTAGTCGCCTTTTACGACAGTCATGGGTTGCTGAAGACCAATTTTAACCCGGCTGGTCAAGTACTGAAATGGCTGGTTGTTTTGTTGTTTAACTCCGCACTCAGCAGTATTCAGGCTACATGACGGCGCAAAGCCGCACCACCCGAATAAAGCTATTATTTATCACAAAGACTTTTATTTTCCAGATTTTCTGCCATGAGGTCAACTCAAGATGCCATCCCTTCATTACATAACGCACGCAGTGACCCTCGCCGTTATTGCCACACTAGTGAGGAAGTACCTACAGCTGAAGTTTGCTTATGAAGATCTGGAAATATATTGCAAGCCTCACCATGAAGACGAAACGGAATTCCAGGACAAGGAACCGGATCCCATCCACCATGGTTACCTGAATAAAGAAGACAAACACAACCCTGTCCATGCTACCGTGACAAATATACATGACAACGGTACAAGACTATGGTGTTCAGGCCATGACAAATCGTCAAGAATTTGTAAATTTGAAAATTTGTGTTATCATCCCCAGAAGGAGGATTTTGTATTCCTGCATGGTCCTGGGAGCTTTATTGAAGGTGCCGACATGAAGAGTGTCCACCATGGATTGTTAGACCTGTCTTCAGTTCAAGGTCACACCACTCACGTACTCAGAGCTGTGGATGCCCCTTCTCGGATCTTGAGGGATACCGGCGTTCACTGGGTTGAAGAAGAGACGCTGGTGTTCAGTCGGTTTAAACCTGACAATATAATGCACGTCATCCATGACGACATCCTGCCTCTTCATTACACGTTGCAGCTAGTGTCGCTTGGAAAAAATAGCTCCAGTCACCAGGTACAGCTTGTGGTTCTTGACGGGTGGGAGATGGGGGAGTTTGAATCTATTTATTCACTATTCACACCGTACGAGATTCTAACAAAAGACAAAATCAATATTCTGGGAGGAATGGTCTGCTTCAGGAACGGCCACATCGGAATCTCTAAAAGGACCACTTGGTACCAGTATGGCTTTGATAAACCACAAGGTCCACTGGAAGGTTTGGAAGTATCTAGTCAGCATGTGCATACTGCTGTCAAGTATCTGTTGACTGAATCTTCAGAACTGTGCCAAATTTGCGGTTCTGGAGAATACGTTGTACTATTGTCCAGACGATTAAACAGGCTGATATTAAACGAAGTAGATTTAACGTTAGCTATTGCTCGAGAAACTGGGTTGAAAGTGGTGGTAATTGGGTTCGAAAGCCACTCTTTTGGCGAAATGATGAAAATAGTCCACGGTTCTAGAGGTATTATTGGTATGCATGGTTCGTTGATGATTCTCGCAACATTTCTGAATCCTGGGAGTTTTATAATTGAATTATTTCCCTACGCTATCAGCCCGGAAAACTATACACCTTTTAAAACACTGGCGGGAATACATGGCATGCAGCTTGTTTATAAAACATGGGCCAATCAGAACCGTGAAGACACAATCATGCATCCTGATTGGCCCCCAGACCTTGGTGGGATTCATGACCTGCCCAAAGAGGAACAGGAGGACATTATTAACCAATCAGAAATCCCGTTACATCTTTGCTGCGAGGATCCATCCTGGTTGTTTCACATATATCAAGACACTAAAGTCGATATTCCTTCTATAACTGAAATGCTGAAGCAGTCTTTTTCTGAGAGCACAGCGAGAGTCGTAGCAAACAACCAACTCATACCTTCTCCAGTGAGGCAGGTGGCGTGTGACGTCAGTTCCGTAGGACAAGGGGTTACGTTGTCATGGAAACGTTCGTGGAATGTGATGTATTTGGATTATATAACACTGGAGTATGAAATATGGCTGCAGAATAGTGACACCGAGTCGACAGTGTCTCTCATCGTCGGGAACGTCACCTCACACACTATCTCAAATTACGTGACTGAAGGGATACTGTATAATGTGTGGGTTAGAAGCGTTCTAGACCAGGAAGTTGAAGGTCAATTCAGTGATGCAATTAAATGCCATGTATGAAATTGTATCCAAACTTTCGTATTCTTTTAATTAACACAGACCCGTGCAGTGGTTTCACTGAACTGAAGATCTGAAATCATCTTCAGCAATCCATGCATCTGTTTGTTTGTTGTTTAACGCCACACTTAGCAATATTGCAGCCATTATATACAATATTGCAATTGATATATATATATATATATTTATATATATCCGAAACTCCACCACTGCTGTCGATGCTGGATTTTCCAATCTGCCATATCTCCTTTCTGTTATTTATCAATGATAGTATCAAGATACAATACTCCGGGGGAAAACGCGGATGACGTTCATCACCTGTGTTCTGTCAACCGTATCGTGTATATATCGTATTGTTTACATATTTAAATATAATAGGGAAAATATATAATAGATAAAGATGGTGAAACCAACATGCAGATCATCTGATCAGCTTCCAACAGTCTTTGACCTAGTGCTAACCAGGATTCTGTACGTTATCAGCAACTCGAGACACGTACTGCCGTCTTTTGCCTTGCGCGAAGTCTTCTCAAAACCATGTCCCTTCAACGTGTGTTTGCCAAATTTCACCGAAATAATTTCAAACGCTTCAAAAAGGAAGCTGCATAATTACGGGAATATATTTTATGTGATTATCTTTGGCAGTATTGTAACCTTCAGGTTGTAGAACGGATGCACAGGTTCGATTTCTCACACTAGTGTAGGGTTGCAGTCTATTGTTGGTGTCCTAACGTGATATTTATGCAATATTGCTAAAAGCGACGTAAACTCGAAAGAAACGGGACGTACATACCCACTAGTTAGAAGTACAATCAACATGTGACTCCCCGCCATTTGTATGGGTGTCTTTTTAGCCTCAGAGATTCGCCCGGTGTGTGTTCCTTGGAAGGCATCACCATACTCGTGCTCCTAGGTGTAACAAACGTGTACAAAGTGGTATAAACCTGTGCTTTCCTCTCTCTAGAAGCTAGATTACCTACACATAACTGAAAAAGGCTGCTCCAATAGCAGTATACATGTACTCGGCTGGCAAACTCCACATTTTCACGACTACTGTCGTTGCGAAAGGGCACAATATTCGTCGGTTTGATTACGACTATGTCACGAGAATGTGATTATAGGGGTGGGGTGGGGTGTCACCCATTTTGTTTTTAGGGGGGATGGGGGTCATCAATGTTGTACACACGCATTAGGGGGTGGGGTGTCAGCAACTTTGTACATAACAGTATGTTTAAAATTATGCTTAGAAATTATGGGAAGGTGTGTGGGGTGTCATTGATTTTGTACATGACATGCAGGTGGGGCACTTATTTTGTACATATATATTAGGGGTCATTCACATTATACATGCTTCTCCATCACAAAAATCATCATCATCATCATCATCTCTCTCAAAACCCAAAACAAAAACCAAACCCAAAAAAAACAACCAAAAACCATAAATTATGAACGGTCCCTTATTCCTCCAAAAGTCGAAAACTGCAAAAACGAGGGCTGGTGTTGCTGGAATGTTCCCTGGCCTAAATGGGAAGTTGAAGACGTTCCACTTTTTTACACTACCCTCTTGTGGATAGTTTACAAACAGTTGATTCAGTAAAAAGGTCACAGGCCCATAATACAGGCAATACCTTCATGCTGCCAAACAATACCTGTATTATGAGCCTATGGCCTTTTTAACTAAATAGCCGTTCTGTCCGGATAGTTGTCTGTTACACTGAATGTGTATGCATAGATCTAACTGTGAAACAAGACGCGGTTTCACTGTCCTCTCTAGTTCTTGTTCTGGGTCCCGATCCATTAAACCTTCGTAGGTCTACTATATTCGCAAGCGTATGATAAATTATAGAGTTACGACAGGTGGATTTCCCGATTTGCGGATCGGGAGACAGGTCTTGACTATTTGACTGTTATTGAAAGATCAGCCCATTCATATACCCGAAACTCAGGTAAGTTAAACTTCTAGACCCAGTCGCCATGTTTTCACTTTTTCCATGCGATCAGAAGATCCAGTTCATATGGAAAGAAATCTGCCGACTATCATGGAAGGACAAATTGATTCTGCTTTCATCTGTGAAGAGCACACGAGACCATTGACGTTGATCCAGCGGCTATGATGTCTACTCCATCTCAAACGCACCTCCTGTGACGTGGTATTAGTGGTGGACGAACTGCAGGTCGCCTACATGTAGCCCGGCTGCCCTTAAACGTCGACGAACGGTGCCCCTGGATATCCTTACATTGTTAACATTGAAGTGTTCTGTCTAAAGCTCTGCTGCGTTAAGGAATCTGTTACATAACGCAGTGTTAATCATGTGCCTATCACCTCGGACTATTGTGACTCTGAGGCAACCTGGTCGATGTGCATATTCCACGGACCCATTGGCTTGAAATCTCTGCCAAAGTCTACCAATAGTCACATTAAAGCAGACAGCAACCTGCAGCTGAGTTTGACCAGATTCCAAAAGGCCTATAGCCTGACCCCTTTCAGCAAATGTCATTTTAAGCTGCGATTTCAAACAGGTACCTGAACAGTGAACAACAGTGAAAAGCATCAATGCATGTGTTTTTCCATACTGTTGAGAAGTTTGTAAAACATTCAGTTCTATATATTTCAAACAAAAACTAAGATTTTACAACTTTTAAGAAATAGTGTTACCAATAGCTTGACGCCGAGTACATGTTCAATGAATGAATACGTCCCTTATTGTCCAAAGGATAAATTTGTAATGTTCAAACCAAGTGCGAGTCAAAGAGGATATCTGGATATTTTACGCCGCTTCACACTGTACTTTAATCTTGTCAACGCTGAATAAGAAGGTGTTTATGTATGTTCTTTTTCAGTTGATCATGAAATACATCCAGTATATATTCAAGGGTTACTGTATATCGCCACAGAAAAGAGACAAGTCAAGAGCCTCCATTCACCAGTCGACGTGAAGTTGTATGAAGACTATCAACCCTAAAAACTTTTCTTTTCCTCGTAGTGAGTTTTACGCCGCTTTTAGCAATATTCCAGCAATATCACGGAGAGGGACAACAGGAAATGGGCTTCACACATTGTACCCATGTGGGGAATTGAACACGGGTAGGGCTGGATATTGCCCTGGTTTTCATATTGCGATATATTGCAATAATTTAAGAGATATTGCAATACATATTGTGATATATTGACTGGAAGGTTTCTGCCCAAGTGTGTACATCATTAATTCATAATAGCCCTCTGTGTGTGGCATCGTCTTGTTAGTTGCTGTTACACCATACTTTCAGGCTCCCCGTCCCCATTGTGTATGGTTGTTTGCAAGTGGTTTACAGATAAATGAGTGAGTTTAGTTTTATGCCGTTATTGTGAATAGCACGAAGTTTTCCACAAACTTAAAGCATTTGGTAGAATATTTGGCACTTTTGGAGCCCCTTATAAAGACAGTTCCACTTGTAAAATGTTACACGAAACCAAGAGAAATACGTGATATATTTGGTACTTTTAGAGCACATTTTGTTGCTATGGCAATCAAGGGCAGATAATTCAAAGGGAGCTAGTTCTGGATGACCCAATATATTGCAGAATCTGAATTATATCGCGATAATTGTATCGCGAGATACTGTACCGGTTTACCGGTAATATTGCACAGGCCTAGACACGGGTATTCGAGCGAACGCTTTAACCACGAGGCTACCCTACCGCACCCTTAATCCACAGGCCCCCACTGCGGGTCAGAAAATCGATAAACTAGGCCCCGGTTTAGTATCAACACCCCCTACTATATAATATATAGTAGGGGGTGTTGATACTAACTCAATGAATGAATACGTCCCTTATTGTCCAAAGGATAAATTTGTAATGTTCAAACCAAGTGCGAGTCAAAGAGGATATCTGGATATTTTACGCCGCTTCAAACTGTACTTTAATCTGGTCAACGCTGAATAAGAAGGTGTTTATGTATGTTCTTCTTCAGTTGATCATGAAGTACATCCAGTATAATTTCAAGGGTTACTGTATATCGCCACAGAAAAGAGGCAAGTCAAGAGCCTCCATTCACCAGTCGACGTAAAGTTGTATGAAGACTATCAACCCTAAAAACTTTTCTTTTCCTCGTAGTGAGTTTTACGCCGCTTTTAGCAATATTCCAGCAATATCACGGAGAGGGACAACAGAAATGGGCTTCACACATTGTACCCATGTGGGGGAATTGAACACGGGTAGGGCTGGATATTGCCCTGGTTTTCATATTGCGATATATTGCAATAATTTAAGAGATATTGCAATACATATTGTGATATATTGACTGGAAGGTTTCTGCCCAAGTGTGTACATCATTAATTCATAATAGCCCTCTGTGTGTGGCATCGTCTTGTTAGTTGCTGTTACACCATACTTTCAGGCTCCCCGTCCCCATTGTGTATGGTTGTTTGCAAGTGGTTTACAGATAAATGAGTGAGTTTAGTTTTATGCCGTTATTGTGAATAGCACGAAGTTTCGGAGTGTTTCTCACACAAACTAGGCCCAGTTTAGTATCAACACCCCTACTATATAATATATAGTGGGGGTGTTGACTAAACTGGGAGGCCTAGTTTATCGATTTTCTCTGACCCGCAGTGGGGGCCTGTGCCTTAATCAGGTGAATAGCTGTGAAAACATAATGCTTATATACTGAGAGAAACAAATAAAGGATCACAGGAAAATTCAAGCGTTCCTTTAATATTTTCCAGTTTTCATCACCAGCTTTGAATAGCGCTGTGGCAATGAAAACTGATAAAAAAAATAAAGGAACGCTTGCATTTTCCGTGATCACTTATTGATTTCTCTCGGTATATATCATATACAGTAGTGGTGTAACGATACATCATCGCTGGGGCTGAGTAACATAATCGATAATCGGAAATATCGTCGATACGAAAATATATTAATAGTTATCAATATGAAAATGGTTATCGATATAATTGTACCTTAACTTTTGTGATAGAATAAAGTTTTAATTTTCTCACACAATATGCAAATTTAGAACTTTAAT